ATCTTAGCTCAAACGCAAGTCAAGTATTTCAATGTGTCACACCCACCCATCTCACACCAACACGATACTGACATATGGTAAAGATATTTCAGAATGAAAACTGGGGGAAAATAAGAAACACTCTTTTATGAAGCTACCACCCGCTCTTTGTTACTACATCTCACGGCCAGCCTTGAATACACCCCACACGTTTCGACTCGCTGAGGAATCATATGCATAAAAAAAACCCTAGCTCACAGTAAATCATGAAACAACAATTATATACAACAAAACGAAACACAATTGTTCATCTTCAGTTTATTCATGAATGTAGCAACACCCCCTATAGCGTTTATCATAATTTTACCGACGAGAAAACGCTCGTTGCCTGAAAATGGGGTACATAATGGTAAATGCATTGTGCATCAACATTGCGTTTTTTTTTGTAATGGCAATAAAATCCGATGTTCAGACAACACTTAAATAGCCAATAACATCGCATTCACCTGGCAAAAACAAGACTTTTGGCTGGTAACCCTGGCGATCAAAAATCATAGATCTCCGTTTGCAAGGCCATGGGGCCATGGCAACAAGGTCACTCTCCATCAGAGGTTGAACCCAAAAGGTAGGTGTGTGTGTGTGTGTCAGACCCATATGGCCATGACATCTCGAATCATGATAACCATAATAATTCATAAATATCCATAATAGTTCATAGATATATAGATATCCATAATAGTTCATAAATTCATAAACCCGAAAAAAAAAACAAAAACGTGAAATTTCAAGAGACTTAGCCTTAATACCAGTACTCGTCTAGCGACGTCGCCATGTCATTAGAATTCATCCACATGTCTCCAATTATACCACATCATATTCCCATGATTGGTCTTATTGCTTCTCCCCGTTTAATCATGTTTAATCACCATAAATTTTGAACGTACTTGAATGGAAAGATTATCTTAGCAAGTGGCTGGTGTCATCCCCCGTAAATTATGGAGCTGCAGGTCCCTGCCATAGCTGCTGGTTCTTTCACATAGCCCCATGAATTATTGCTGCCATATGGCTCTATTACTCCCCTCTCCCTATTACTAAACGTCCCCCGAATACTAAAAACAGGCGTCCATCTCCAATTTCTGAAAATTTCAGTTTGGCCTATTTGACTTTTAATTGATCCCCTTTAGAAAACAATTAAAAAACAACCTACCATTTGTGGGTTTCCCCCCCTAATACTAAAAACTAGTCGACCCCGGGGTGTTTAGTATTAGGGGGAAGCTTCGAAATCCAACTTTTGGCAATATTTTAATTGCGTTATATAAAGAAATTTAATTAATTTTGAAATCGGAAAAAACAGTTTTTGTTATTAAGGGTTTTAATTTAGTATTGGGGGGAAGCTTCGAAATCCAATTTTTGGCAATATTTTAATCGCGTTATATAAAGGAAATTTAATTCATTTTGAAATCGGAAAAAAAAGTTTTTATTATTCAGGGTTTGAATTTAATATTAGGGGGAAGCTTCGAAATCCAATTTCTGGCAATATTTTCATTGCGTTATATAAAGGAGATTTAATTCATTTTGAAATCGGAAAAAACAGTTTTTGTTATTAAGTGTTTTAATTTAGTATTAGGGGGAAGCTTCGAAATCCAATTTTTGGCAATATTTTAATCGCGTTACAAAAGGAAATTTAATTGATTTTGAGATCAAAAAATCTAGTTTTTATTATTAAGGGTTTTAATTTAGTATTAGGGGGGGAAGCTTCGAAATCCAATTTTTGGCGATATTTTAATTGCGTTAAATAAGGAAATGTAAGTGATTTTGAGATCGGAAAAAATAGTTTTTATTATTAAGGGTTTTAATTTAGTATTAGGGGGAAGCTTCGAAATCCAATTTTTGGCAATATCTTAATTACGTTATACAAGGAAATTTAATTGATTTTGAGATCGGAAAAAATAGTTTTTATTATTAAGGGTTTTAATGTAGTATTGGGGGGAAGCTTCGAAATCCAATTTCTGGCAATATTTTAATCGCGTTATATAAAGAAATTTAATTGATTTTGAATTCGGAAAAAACAGTTTTTGTTATTAAGGGTTTTAATTTACTATTAGGGGGGGGAAGCTTCGAAATCCAATTTTTGGCAATATTTTAATCTCGTTAAATAAGGAAATTTAATTGATTTTGAGATCGGAAAAAAAAGTTTTTATTATTAAGGGTTTTAATTTAGTATTAGGGGGAAGCTTCGAAATCAATTTTTTGGCAATATTTTAATCGCGTTATATAAAGGAGATTTAATTCATTTTGAAATCGGAAAAAACAGTTTTTGTTATTAAGTGTTTTAATTTAGTATTAGGGGGAAGCTTCGAAATCCAATTTTTGGCAATATTTTAATTGCGTTATATAAAGAAATTTAATTGATTTTGAGATCAAAAAATCTAGTTTTTATTATTAAGGGTTTTAATTGCGTATTAGGGTTCCCTAATACTAAATATTACCCGAATACTAAAAACTACCTGCCGTGTTTTTTGTTAGGGGGGGGGCGTTTAGTATTAGGGAGAAGGGATTAATATGCTTCTATCCCTATTTTTCTAACCAAAATCTCCAGTTGTCCTTGTTGTTTTCCTGTAATATCTTTTTGGTGCTCCAGCTGCGCCTGGAGGACATAGTCTTGTAGATGCCTGCCCGGTACTCACCCGGATTGTATGCCGGCAGCTCCACCACTAAGGGCAACACGTCCGCGAAGGTGCTATCGGGGCTCCAGTAGTACCTGGCGGTGGCTATGGGCGGTGTGGGGGGGCCTACTGGAAATTCATTTTTTTAAAACATTAGAGAAGTGTGGTATGAACTGGTTATAACTCAAGATGTCACTGGATTATGAGTTAGAACTGATAACTTATAAGTGGCTTATGACTTATGAATTATAACTTACAAGTCTAAAGTTTAAGCCATTCTTGGGCCCAAATCCCAGAAACAACAGCAAACAATCAGTTGCTGACCTTCAATCCAGTCCCTCCCAGGATTATCCAAGCTAGGGGTTAGCGACACCTGTATGGAAGTACGTACAGGGAAGCGTATATATATACATATATATATATATGTGTGAAAGCACCAGAAGTTGAGGGATCTGGATAACACATGATTCACCAACCTGAAAAGTTCAAGTTTTTTCAAAATAGTTACCCTTAATCCAATTCCCATCATACCAGTGACGTCGCAGTGTCGTTATATTTCACCCGGTGGCGTGGCTTGTTACCACCGAAGTTTTTTGAAGAGTGTCAATGGGGTCGCTGATTTTAGTCTGATAGGTACCAATCATGGTATAACGAAAGTAGATCATGAAAATTATCCTAGGTAGGAGTCAGAAAGTAAGCCTAATGTGGTTTTTCCCTCCAAGCATCTTAATCTCTAATGTAGAGCACCACCAGAAACCATGGTGGATCTAGAGGTTTCAAAATATTGGGACACATTTTGGGTGTGCTGAATATGAACCGGGGACGGAAACTGCTGCCTCTTAGGCAATACCTAAACAAGGTGGACCAATGCAAAATAAACACCAATTTATGGGATAATTCTGAATGCCCACCCGTTTCCCACATTACTTCCCATGAGTTGTCTCCAATCTGTTGAATATCGAAACTATGAAACTCTAAGTCGCCTCACTTTTCAACAAATCGGCAGAAGGATCTGATTGATCCACACATCCGTATGAGCATTTACGGATCACGGTTGTAACTTATGAATGAAAGGTGCTTCTTTAAAAGCGTGGAAAATAATATTAAATATTGCTTCCTTCAAGACATGTTGTGTTTTTTCCTGAGTATGTGCTCATCCTTTTCGAAAGAAAAGGTGTGCACTTACTTTGTTTTTTGCAAACGGTTACCAACAAATACTACGTTTTTGCGACTAACAAAGGGAAACACAGTAGATCTTTGGGAGGAGGGGGTAGGGTATATAATATGTATATGTATCTATACATATATATATATATATGTATATATATATATATGTATACATATATATATCCGTATATATATATATATCCGTATATATATATATGTATGTATGTGTGAGTGTGTGTTTGTATGTGTAGTGACATGGTGATGTCCCCAATTGTGGTGGTTAAGCCCAATTTCACATGTATCCGCTAACAAACTTCGGAAAACATACTTGTATGTTTGTTTGTATGTATATATATATATATACACATTATATATATAATTATATATATATGGATATGTGTGAGAGAGAGAGAGAGGGAGACTGTTTCAAACCGCCAAATTCCACCAACTAGCTATGCCACGCAGTCGATTCGATCTGCATGTTCAGCGAGATGTATCCTCAGGAATGAACAATCCCATGTAATCCTCATTGTTTCTTTGGTCGCAAGGGTCACGAAAATGGTCCCCGAAGAGTGGCAACACATTTCAAACCCTTGGAGGAAGCCACTCAACCATACTCAACCACGTAACCACGAGATGTTGCAATAATTCATGATGTTTCATGAGTACTTTGAGTTTCTACGTTCTAGGTACCCGTACAGATTGAACATATGCTTAAACCTTGACTTGAAGCTGCCACTCGCCATGACGGAAAACATCTGCAAACCCTTCATCATCTTCACTAAATCCTGGCTGCAAAGCATAAAACCCAAAACATCCCAAGACATCAAACAACCTTAAAGAATCAAGCAGTGATGAATCAAGCGGTACTTGGTGGCTTGTTGATGCCTGTTGCTTCCCTGCTTGATCCAAGCAGTTTAACTTCTAATGGTACGACCGAAGGACCTGCACCAACAGCTATGGAAAATGATGGCCCATAGCTCGATCATTTACCTATTTAAAATGCAGCTTTTCCATAACCCATATGCTCCATGGTGCTGGAATATTTACCAACATTTGCCCGAACAAAATCACCAAGTTTTGTAGGTAAATATACCAGCACCATGGAGCATATGGGTTATGTGTTGTATATATATATATATGCATGTAGATATAGATATAGAAAAATTGCCAGAGGCTCAAGGTCGGATATTTCAAAGACGAGTCTTGATGCCACTTTGACCAGGGAATTGCATGATTCCTGCACGGAATGCGGGTTTATAGCATTTTATAGCTGGAAAAATTACCGGGGAAGTTTCCAAGCCATGTTTGATCATGTTACATGTTTCATTATAGGCTTTTCCACCAACAATCGAAGTGTATGGCCAAATACCCGATAGTTTTCACCACTGATGAGCCTCGAATTCGCAACATCAACTCCATGCTATACAAACAAGTAAAAATAACGAGTTTGCCAGAAACACTGTCGGGATTTTCCCTTCCCAGACCGACTTCGGTAGCACAAGACATTCGGGATTTGCAGCAAATCCATAGCCAGCCACGCAGGAGGCCCCACAGCAGACCCCGGCAGTTTCAAAACATCGCCCAGCATCGAGAATAATCTTTCGCGTTCGTAAAGGCCAAAGGCATGCTATAAGCAGCAGCTTGTTGGATCCTTGCTACGCCAGCCATTTTTTTGGAAGGAATGACCATCCCAAATTGTGGACCGTGGAGCCACAATATTCCCAATATCCCTCAACTGTAGACTATGGTCATCTATATGGTATATATATATATATATCTCTCTCTCTATATTTACAAATATCCACTGTGTTTTCCGCATGTGAACATGAAATCTAAGAGAATTATACCAGAATGAGTTTCCTTTCCCATTTTCCGCGAAAGGAATTTCACCATTCTCCACCACTTTCATCCCAAAAACGCATCAATATCAATGAAACATATGAAACATTGCTCTAAGATTCTCCCGGTTTAACATTTCACCCAGCCCCGCCAGGCCCAGCGTCATAATGTACACACCCCAGCCCGCGTAGGCCATCACTGCGGCACATCGCCTGTGGTCCGCCCGGCAGCTAGGAGCAATCCACCACCTGTCTCGAAGGCCTGGCTGCGCGCGACGTTTTTTGCTGATCGCTGCTGCGGTGAGGAAGGATTCTAGCAATTCACCAGCTTATACCAGCTTGAAATCTTTGGCCGTTTGAGGATGATACCATATGATTCCCCTTACGAGATCCTACGATCATTGAAGCAGTCATCCGGATTCCTCTGGAAAACATGACGCTTTGCCATGGGAAATGCAATGTTTAACAGGCAAATCATCTAGACATGAGTATTTTTCCACGGCAGCGCTTGATTATCAAAGGGTATATCATGGTATAATATGGTATGAATATAAAAGCATCCATAATTATGCAAGGGATATGAATAGTGGGATGATATAATTGTAATGGGGATTAATATCTCATAGTATGTGATATATATATAAATTATATTTAAAATAATGCAATCACCGTCAATATAAAAAAAATGGACGATCCGTCCAAAAAAGGTTGGCAAATACATGGAAATAGCTTCAACTAAAGCCAAGCTTTTCGTCGGGACTATTCGGACCCTAGTTGCTTAAACTGAGGATCTCCCCCGATCTACGTCCTCCTCTAGTAAATCATAGAGTATCACTCTAGTGTGTAAACAAACCCAATGAAGCCACCAGTTGGTGTCTTCTGGTGTAATCCAGAGTTTACAGTGGTCAAGTGGTCATCTACCAGGGGTCCAGTTTCGACTGAGCAGTAGCTCTTACGTTTTTCTGGAAGGTGTTGGTTGCCGCCAAAGCCTCCAAAGTTCCCATCAACCCTGGCCAGAAACTGGCATCAGAAACCTTCCATGACATTTGGAGGTGCAGTTCCATTTTTTTGGAGATGTAACCATAGTGGACCATAGTATTGCAACAGTCCAGATTAGATGGTCTTCTATATATATATATATAATAAAACTAATAGTGATAATATTAATAAAAATAAAAATAATTTTAATAATAATATTAATAATAGTAATGTTAATAATAATAAAATATTAATAGTAATAATAATAATCTTAATAATAATAATATTAAAAAATAACATTTATAATAATAATCGTAATATTAAAAATAAAATAACCATAATATTAATAATAATAACAAAAATCATAATAGTAATAATAAAAAAAACACAATAATAACAATAATAATATTAATAATAATAATAATAACAAAAATCATAATAGTATATTACCCATATGCTCCATGTGTGGTATATTTACCTACAAAACTGGGTGAATTTTGGGCAAATGTTGGTAAATATTCCAGCACCATGGAGCATATGGGTTATATTCCAACTGCTGGAGGTTCTCGGAATTCTTATACCATTCGAAAATCACATCCACTGCACCTCGGCAATACTGGTGGTGGTTCTTTGATGTTCTTTGTTGGTTGCATCATGTTGCATCCCCATGACGGATGCTTACCCGCTTAATGACTAACATAGCTATTGAAAATGGCCATTTATAGTGGATTTACCTATTAAAAATTGTGATTTTCCATAGTTATGTTAATTTACCAGATGATTAATGAATATTAATGATTGATTTTGTCTTCACGGCGACCAACCGTTGGTTTATATTTATGTTGGTGACCCACCAGCCGATCAAAAAACCGAGCCGCAGTTCAACACCATCGCGCCGTTGACGCTCTGAACGCCATCTGCATCACCTGTTGCATCAAAATAGAGTTGCGCCGTACCTGGGTACACATCAAACATCAAAAGTATGTATAAGTTGCAAACAGAATAGGAAACGCCATGACATGAGTTGCTGAAAGGTAGCCATCAGACTGTCATGAATAAATTGAGTCCCTGAGCCCAAAGGCATCACCAGGCCAAGCAAACCCAAGGTACTTGGGTAGTTGGCGTCAACAGCATCCGCACACCTCAAAAAACACAATGGAAGCCGGTTCTGGTTTAAGATTTGCAGGAATCACAAACAACTAAAATTAACTAAAGGCACCTGCATCCAGCCTTCAATCAAAGGTGTATATATGCAAGTGTTATGTGACAATATATACGCATAGGTGTATGTACATGTGTACCTAAATGAAATTATAGATAGAATCTTACACGTGCATATAAACATATAGACACGTCACATGTGGTTACATTTTGGCCTGGTTCCAAGCTGCACAAACACACATGATCGTTCTGGATGCCACCGTTTTCCAGGAAGCACTGGCTTCAAACCAAGTACGCCACCCAGCACCAAGAATAGCCAATCACTCCATCATTGGTCCATTTCCAGTTTTGATTGATTTTGTGAGTTGTAGGATGTCGTGCAAATATTAGTATGCCCTTCCGACCCTTCCGAAGCTAACAAATGCGAATCGTGACGTGCAAACTGGATTTACGTGACAACTATATCCCATTAATAGTTAGTCTTGATGCGAACAAAAAATGATTATGTATGGGATCCGTAGGGCTCTATCATCACGTTTGCTGGATCACCACCCTTCTTTCCGTTTACTATCCCAATGTTTCAGGACGATCTGCCATGTTATGCAAAACGTCTTCCAGATCTAATAGGGAAACCACAAGTTTCCCTCCGAACCATACATGGCAATGGATAATTAGAGCATTCAAAGGCACCAACTGACAAACTCCTGTCGCATGTACTCAAGTGAGGGGATCATTTTTTTTCAGCATTAGCACCATGAATGGTCAGCAGTCACCATAGTGAATACCCAAATTGCTGGCAAATCCATGACACAATCGGTCGAAAAAGTAGGATATTTCTGGGTCATCCTATCAGAATCGCTGGACATTCTTCCCTCAACCTGTGCTAGTCCACCAACAAATATCCGCTGGTTCTGGATATTTTTCTGGACATTCTTGGCAACAAAATCTGATGTTCCACTACCCGTCCAAGGTTGGGGATAACATGTACATTGTACATTGACCTCTCTCCATCGAATTTCTGCTTGTCCCCCAAATCCAGCCCAAAAAACGTCGCTAGGTCCGTATCATTGAGGGCGTCCATCTGTGATGTGCAGAGGTCGGGCCGAAACCACGAGAGGTTATAGTTGCCGTAGTACTGCAAATGCAGACCGAAATCCTGGGAACATATATTCACTGGCCTATGTAAGGGAATATCACCACAAAATATGGCCTTATATGGTATAGTACCTCCATTTCAGGATCCTGAAATTCTCATTGATATTTGGCAAAGGACGGAACAAAAATAAGTGGAGAACAGAATGCGCATATACATACTCACAGATGTAAAATTGTGAATTTGATGATGAAAGACCAAAATTTATATACCTAGCAAGTCTAAGGGACAATTTTTTGAAGTCCTACGAGATCCCGTGGAATGCCCAAAAAGAACATGTTCAGCGTAGCTGGGACTATGTGTTTTTTGGGTCCTTTGGGCCTAAAAGGAGCGTTGCACAATACCATCTATAGATGTACTTTTTGGGCCCTTTGGGTTACAAAGGAACATGTCATAATACCATAATATAGATGTACTTTCTGAGTCCTTCGGGCTCAAAAGGAACATTGTACATACATATCTCAGGCTGAGGCAGGGGTGTGGCAACCCCGCTTCAGCGAAGGGCATGTGGGTGTTTTTTTTTCTGATTTGAAAATCAGCCTCAAGGAGTCTGCAGCCTGAAAGCTGTGTGCCTTAGGTACACATGGCTAGGAACAAAAAAATGTGGCATGGTTTGCTTATGGGTTTTTTCATCAAGATAGACACATCATCCCCCAAAGCGTGAGCAAAACGTGAGCAAAGCCTAACTAAGAGGCTACAAGCTCTCTACATTCAAGCTTGGAAAGTTGAGCTACCAAAGTCAGACCAAGCTTCCTCACTCCACCCCCTCCATGCGTCCCAGCCCGGCTACTGTAAGCAGCGCGGATTTTTGGAGGAAGGCCGGAGGTGATCCTGTAGAAACTTGGGGAAAGCTTGATCTACTTAGCATCAAGTGGTGATACCATTACACCTGAGCAATTGCTCAAAAATGAAAAGCCTAGGAAAAAATTATTGGCACGCCTCAGTTGAAACACTCCAATAATACAAATCCAGCCACAATAGGGCCAGTCTGGCCATGGGTCACCCAAACTCCGGTGATCTGGCAGAACAAGCATTGCGTAGATACCTTCGGTCTTTGTTGTATCACATCACGAAAGCATCGTTCGATGGACTACAAAATGTCATCCCTGTCCGTGGCTACAACTTTGCAGTCTGGAGACGAATGAATTCAGCCAGCTCCCTAAGGGAGTCCTGACAGAGCAAGGATCTGTAGTGGACTGGTCATCCTGTTTATCCTGCTGTTCATATTGCTTTTTATTCGGGGACCTTTCTTTTCTCATAACTCACACGTACCTCCTTGAAGGCTCATCAGCAGGGTTCAGGCGACCCATGCCCATAGGGGGTAAAGATTGAGAGCTACGCGCAGTGCGCAGATTTGCGAAGAATTCTATTTATCCTGCTGCTAGATGTTCCTTTGCACAAAACAGCCAAGCATATCTGGCTGTCAGCAAGGTGCAAAAAGCGGCAGGAGCAGAACCGCTTCGTTTGGGCCCGCCACTCAAGGCCCCGCAGTATTGCACAGTTCAAATAGATTGATGTGCTCTCTCCTTTCTCCAGCTCTAAGCCTGAGCCACTTGCCATACCCATTGTTTCGGGTTGATCGTTTTGCGGGCAACCGCATCAAGGCGCCATATGAGCCCCAAATCCAACCTCACATCAGAGCCACGAAACCCAGTACGGCGGAGGAATTGGCGCACCAACCTGATGCTCAGCAAGTTCGCAGCTTTCCCGCTGACACCAACATGACTTGCCAGCCGGAGCCATTCTGCCTTCTTCTGATCTCCTTCATTGGCTCCCAAGATTTCCTCTCCTTCCAGCTGTGCCAGTGTCTCTGTCTTCTGCGAACCCAATTCGTAAATGTTGTCACCACAATAGCTTCCATTTCAGGGCCCCCCAGATCTTTTTGCCACTCCTGCGCGATGAACGCGCACCGAGCGGATCTGTACGAACCCCTTTGCTCCAAGGCCACAAAAGTCAAGGAGTGCATGCTACCGTCACAGTATGAAAACTGTTTCCCAGTGCTCCCATCCGTTTAACCTGTTGTTCTTCGGCTTCTGCGGGGTTTTCAAATTCTTTCTTGAAGAGGGCTTTCGTATCCCCGTCTGGTGTGGCCCTCAGGGTCAGACCCCAGTTTTATCATGCTAAGATTCCTGGACTGACATCAAAGATCATCAAAAAACAACAAAAACATACATCCAGTACCCCCCCCGAGTGAAGGCTAAAATTCAGGCTCCAGCCCAAAAATTTATCAATTTAAACGACCAACATAGCCAAATCCCAGATGATAAAACTCAAGGTTGCAAGGTCTATGGAGCCACTGAATTTGCAGTTCCACGAGCTGCAACAATAAAACAACATAAACAATATACTATATACAAAAATATACATACACACACACTCACACACACACACATATATATATATATATATTGATATTTTTTTTGTTTTGTGGCATGAATCTGCTGAGCTGAGCATGCCAGGGCTGCTCTTGGACTGCAGCGGTTCAAATGGTTTTTGCATTTCGTTTGCCATTGGTTGAACGCTGTAAACACATGATTGTTGAATTCTAGTTTCTTGTTCAAGAACTGATAGCTATTCTCTTGTTCCCTTCAAACCGTAAAGCCGAAGAAATTCAGCCAGCCCACTTTCCTGAAATTACACCTCAATTTCCAGAAATTTATCCCGGAACCGTGGCGCCGGATTCGGCAACGAGTTTTTTGCATACACCGTTAAAATTTCAAAAGGAACTGAAAATGTATTGCCACATGTTGCCATATATTGCCACATCCTAAACTGCCTGAAATTAGACATGCTAATTCATTTTTATATGTTCTTTGAAAAATGTGCGAACAAAATGTGCTAGTTTTTCATTTGGTTCAAGCCTACCTTCTGACTGTAGCTTCAGCCAAATGACAAGCTCACGGAGCAGCTCACGCGCAGACACACCAACATGGCATGGACACGCTAAGCCGAAGAAATTCAGCCAGCCCACCTTCCTTAGATTCACCTTTAGTTTCTGTTTGGGTTTCGATATGGCAATATACCGGCCCTTTTTTAATTTCAAACCACGTATGCAAATCTAGTGCCGAACAAAATGCTACGTTCAGAAGGTAAGCTTAAACCAAAGGACAGTTGAAATCAGTTGAACCAAAAGAAAAACTATATAGCACATTTTTTCGCCTGTTCTTTCAACGAAAAAAATGAATCAGCATGCCGAACTTCAGGTAGTTTAGGATGTGGCAATACATGGCAACATGTGGCAATACATTTTCAGTTCCTTTTGAAATTTTAACGGTGTATGCAAAAAACTCGTTGCCGAATCCGGCGCCACGGTTCCGGGATAAATTTCTGGAAACTGAGGTGTATTTTGAGGAAAGTGTCCATGCCATGGTGGTGTCGGTGCGGGAGCGGGTCATTAAAATTTGAGGTTTCCTGGTCAAAATCTAGGCTGGTGAGAAAAGTCCCGAATTGCATCACCGAGGACCCTTCGCACCAGAGAATCCAAACTCAACATACCATTTACTCAAACCTGAGAAGAATCGCAAATCATCTGCCTCATACTTATGAAAAATATATATGATGGGTGGAAACTGTGGAACCCGTCGTGCTGCATGCGTTGCACGCTGCGCAATATTTTTTTACTGGTAAGGACATTTCGTGTCAAATGGCTTTGATTTCGTTGCAATTGGTTGTTGGTAATGTGCCTGAGAAGGGCAATGCAAACCAGGATGGAATCAGAATCATCGAAATAATGGATTCAGAATCAAAGATCGATGTGGCCAAATGAAACCCCAGAAACAAAGAGGCAAATGGAATTATGTGTAAATGGGGATGGGGGTTTGTGGCTCAATGGGTATGTTCCGCCCACCCGCCATCCATCAGTCAGAGCCTCATTTTTGACAGCGCTGGGAGGATCCGGACTTGAACTGGTGAGTTGGGACTGCCTAGCTTGCCTACCCAAAAGCAATGAAATTTAAATTCACTGCAGCCCTGCAAGTCTTCGCCCACTCACATCCATTGGGCTCCATTCATCAGCCCATTTTCAAACATTGACAGTCCCTTAGCTGCAATGGTAAATGTATGACCATCTCAAAATTGGGGGCTCGACCTGCCAAATCTAGATGAGTCTGATACAGCTCGAAGTAGGAACATCGGTGCCTGCAAACCTGCTACGCCACATGTACAATGGCTTGCACGGCTGCAGCTCATTGTCAGCCTTGACATACCTGACACGCCACAAACGCTGCAGCGTGCGCGACGCATCCAGGGCCTCGCAGGGATATATTTTGGGAGAAGTAGTTTGGTGATACGGATGATATAGTTTGTTATTTAAGGATATGGTTCAGGAATATGTTTCAAATATATACTTTGGGATAAAGTGTGGGCCACATTCTGGGGATACATTTGAGGAAACCGTTTGGGATACACTTTGGGATAAAGACTCAGGCTCCTATGACTTTAAAAGGGGTCCAGTACCCCATATGAGCGATGGTCTAAACATGGTATTGGTTCCATGGTCATTTTGGGTATCGCTCCTCAAGGTTCCCTATCGCTTCACACAGTGGGAGCTCACTTTTGCTAAATATGATGAAGCATGTTCAGGCAGGCGTCCACGATTCGCTGTCAAATTCTGTCAGCGAGATGTTTGAATTATCTAGCGACTAGTTTTGTGGCCATCGGTCAGCTTGGCAACATGCAGGGCACGTTCCCCCTCAAAGTGCCCAACCATTTTCAAACCCCCTTACTACAGAAACTGCTCACTCAAGCTTCGCCACTGCTGGTAGAGAAGCTGGAACTAAATCATGATGTCGGTGAGGCCCGCCACTTGGCTTGAAGGTTGCGAGCACAAGCCGGCCGTTTTAGATGCTTTCTGCCATGCTCTTCAAAGTCCGGAAGCAGCTGCCGTCTTCTCTCCAAGTCTGGGGGTCTGTCTACTTCTGCTGATTTGGGGTATCACTCCAGATATCGAATCAGGCATCGTTCCCAAAAACTTTTTTGCCGGAGGCATTCTGGTCTTTACTCATCGCCTGATCTGCTCCTTGCAGCTTTCCCTTGTCCGCGCGCTGAAGAAAGACATGGGAAGAAGAAAGCATGTACGATTATTTCTTGCACACCTTCAAGTCATTTGCACGCGTGCGCCCATGTGTGCAGGTGCGCGCGCGTGTGTGTGTGTGTGCGTGCGTTGAGAGAGGAGAGAAGAATAAGAGAAAGAGAGAGAGAGAGAGAGAGGGAGAGGGAAAAGGAGAGGGAGAGAGGGAAAAGGAGAGGGAGAGCGAGAGAGAGAGAGAGAGAGAGAGAGAGAGGGAGAGCGAGAGAGAGGGAGGGAGGGAGGGAGGGCGGAGGGAAAGAGATAGAAAGAGAGAGAGAGAGAGAGAATGTCTTGGAGAGAGCGTGTGGGTGGGTCTTGCTGGTTGAGATACAGCAGGTGTCAGAAATTTTGCTCCAAGACTTCTGGAAAGTGCACGCATGTTGCCGTGACAACATATTTGCATTACTTGAGGGAGTATCGCTCTTCAAGGTTCCCTATCGCTCCCCACAGGAAATCACATATGTTTAAAAATGACGGCGGCCGAATACAACATCTCTACATACCATCCCTTAACCCTTGTTCATATAAACAAGTTTGATGCTGGGATTTCAAGGCACCTCGTTCGTAAATGCACTGGCGATGTTGGAATACTTGAAGTTGTTCACGACCGGTGTCCACTGGAGGTAAACCTTCTTGTCCTTGGGCTTGATCTTCCATCCATCCTCTGGTACACTCTGGTCACCTGAGTCTAGATGATTATTTTCGTATAAATTATGTTTTTGTCAAAACTGCGCTGATGTAAAAATCAGGTGTAGGCAGCTCAAAAAAAAGAGGTGAATCTAAGTCGGGCTAGATACCATCGTGATTGGTTGGTTTCCTTGAGAACTCGTGGCAGCAAATGGTGGTGTCCACGATCTGTGCCTCTTCAAACTCTGCCATCAATGCCCTCAGCGATGCTGGCTCGGAATCTTTCATGCTCTTGGCCCCCTCATCGGAAATTTCAAGGACCACACGGGTGAGGTCACTGTGCACTTCAAACGTGACAGTGTTGTCCAAGGCAGAACCTGCACTTTAAAGATAAAATCGCTGCAAACAAAAAATATGCAGGATTGCAGTGCATGACTGGAGCATACAATGTTTTGTTCCCCCGTTGTTGCAATTGATTGAACCTCAAAAGGTGAGACAGGATCCCCACCCTTTGGAAAGTGCTCGAAGCTCAAAATGGTGGTTTTAGAAAACCAGCCCCTATCGAGTAAGTCCGGCTCACTGCTGATCCTCCTTGTCTGCATTGCCAGAGCGCTTTGGCTTCACCAAGCGCCTGCGGCTGCGCTCAGACTTGGTCATCTTCGACATGGCAGCCACACGAACAGGATGGTTGTTCCACCTCGGTTCTCTCTTGAGTCCAAAAACGTATTTTTAAATAAGTGTTGATTGGCTTTACAGTAAACCTTTGGGGGGACTTCACAAGGCTAATTTTTTCTTGTGGCTTTAAAAGTCTTTGCCTCTAAGGGACATAGAAAAATCTATTCTTTTAGGGGGATCACCCATTACAAAAATATGTTTTTCGATGAGGGACGTGGAGCGAGCTTCTTTGAGTGCAGCGCGTCCTGTGATGCCATCCTTCTTGAGCGAAGCCATGCTGTCTTTGAGGTGTTTGTGGTAAGCATGTCTCAAAGAATGGTCTCCAGTCGGCACACGTCCCTGATGGGCAACCACCAAGCAAGACCATGTACTAGAAACCTTGGACAACCCTTTTGAAAAAACATGTTCTTTTTTGCAATGGTGATAATTTATGAAACCTGCCTCGTCACTGGAGGCAGCACGCTTCTGGGTGCTCTTGCACTTGGTCAACGCTTTGCTCTTCGCCTTCGCCTTTGCCTTCAAGCTCTCCTTCTTTTTCGGTGCTGCCTTCGAGCTCTCCTTCTTTTTCGGTGCTGCCTTCGGTGCTCTCTTGGTCTTCGGTGCTGTTGCTGCCTTGGTCTTGGCCTTGGCGGCTGCCTTGGGCTGGGGAGGAGTGCGCGGCTGTGACAAGCGCTCAGTTGGTGCATCCACAGATGCATCTGACTCTTCATCTAACTCTTCAAGTAGGTCTACTATCTCATCATCATCCTCGTCCCCGAAACCCGTGTGTGTCTCGGGAAGTTCCTCAGCTTCCTCCTTTTTTTTGGAACCCTTCCCACGGCCTCGGCCACCCTTGCCACGTCCCTTGGCACGACCCCGACCAGTAGGAGCTTCCCCAGTACCCTTCCTGCCGGTGGTCTCTTTCGGGAAGCCCTGCTTCAAGAACTTCACAGCATCCTTTGCGGCAGAGACATCCTTGACAAGTTTCTCCTGGGTCTCCTTGTCCAACGGTGGGTTTCCTTTGGCAGGCCTTTGCCCTTCTGACGTGGTCAAGGGCAATGGCTCTTCTCGTACAGTCTTGTTGCTCTTGTCAACCTTGGAGTCATTCTTGGGCAAAGGAGATGGGGACGGTGTCGAAGCAGGGATAGCAGGACGAGGAATTGCAGGAGGTGTCTGGCAGGAAGAAGGGCTCTCAGTCATCATGGCGCTCAAGTCCTGACAAGTTGGAAAGAATAAAGAACAGTGCTAGCAGGGAATCAGGGAATATAAGGTACCTAGTATTACCTAGTAGTGGTTTTAAACTAAAACAGAGGTGTCATTTGATACAAAATATATAAGATATTGTGCTAAAAAAGGGGTTTAGTTTCTATTTAATATTATGCGCGGACTGGGTGACTAAACTAATACCATATGTTCCAAATAGTTCTTTCCCGAAACACTTGTCCGCTTTCAGCCCATGGTGAGCTAGCATCTTCGCAAGGTCACCCATGGCGTAACAGCTTAGCAAGCTTCGATGGTGCAAACGAGGCAGGGCAACAGTGGGTTGCAGGAACTCGGGAAGGCTTGATAACAGCAAATGGCTATTTGCTAGAAACATGCCAAAATGGCTCGCACTAATTAGTAACTATGGTAGAGCAGTACTGGCAGGTGTAGGTGCTGAAGCCAGGCCTCCACCTTCACGCAAAAGCTTGGCAATTTTCTCCTGTTTGAGGAACGATGCCTTTCCATGTGCGATCACGATTTCATCCGCTGGCAAGGTCAAGCCAACATGAGCGACCTTGTTGGGTTGAAAAGTTGTTTTCAAAAACAGTGAGTGTAGTAAACAGAACTGCTTTGGGTATCATTTATTGTTTCGAGGGGTTGCAACTGGAGCCCTCGAAACAATGAAATTTGACCAGTGACAAAGAAGAGCTTGTAGCGCTGGCCCTCAACACACTGGATTGGCTTCTCCTCTTTGCGGCGTGTTGCATTGGTGACATAGATCATACCACCAGGAACCCCTGCGTTGCACTTCCCCTCCACAACATACAAGTCCAGGAGTTGCTCCAGGGTCGTAGGCTCATCTTCCCATGGCTCAGGGTCCTCGGGGATGTCTTCTGCAGGAACCACCTGGTCCTCGACCACGATGTCAGCACTGATCTCGAACCTGCTGAGTTGACAGGAGCCGAGAAAAAATGAGGAACCTGTGTGGGGGATATCCAAAGAAGAAATGGGACATCCGCAGAGTCAAGAACATTAAGTCATGTTGCCGTTGTGGGAAAGACATTCCCCAGTTTCAGGCTAGTAACTTGGAGTCGAAATCCATGATCAACTTTCGCCAGTCTTCGCAGTGAATGGGGTCATGGGCGTAGAGGGTTCTCACCGAGTTCGGCAATGAGAACTGGTACTGCCGCGCCCCATCTTTGGTGGAATCTTTGGTGACATTCACATACTTCATGGGGTAGTCCTCCAACTTCAAGGCCTCAGACGCTGCTGGATTTGGATCATAGGCACGGAACCCTTTGAAGAGTGGAGATCCTTTCTTCCACTCCTGCAGCTCAGCGGAACAAAAAGTAATCAAAAACCAATGTGACCAGGGACTGTTTCTTTTATTAACCACTTGATTCAAACAAATAATTGCGGGTGATTTTCCCTCTCCTGCACCAACTCATTGCCAAGCAAGCGCTCACTGAAGGCAACTGCATCGGGATATGCCCCCATGGAAAAAGACCTGAGCTCAAGAGCATCTTGCCCATACTCCATTTGCCAGCGCATGCAAACCCGTTCAAGATGCCCATCATAGGGGGTGAAGTTGCAAACTCCACAGATCCTGCCAGTGAAGTCGGCCCCTTTCAGGAGGGATTCCAAGACAGCAGTGGGCATCTCGGATCCAGCCAGGAGCTGAGCACTTTCTTGGGCGTCGCTCATTGACCTGGTGTGGGGCCAGGTGGTGGTGGTACTTATTGAAAGTAGCTGGAAAAGATATTGATTCTCAAGGTAATCCTGTGTTATAGATCATAGTGTCTTACCAGTTCGAATTGGTAGCAGATGATCAGTTTACATTCCAAGGTCATCCCCATAGGTGATCGATACTTAGTGGAAAACATCAGGTTGGTTCTCAACATTTGAATGGCTTTAAGTTGTGGGACCCAAGAATCATGAAACTTTGAAGGGGGTGAATCCACAACCCTGGTAATATCCATAAATTCGGGCATCCATTGTTTGCTAAATTAAAATAAAAAGCATTTTTTTCAAAAGCTCACCGTGGCCCCTCGCTTGCGCTGGGAAGGCTGTCCTTTCCAGTTGAGGGGACAACGTACTCGGTTTCAGGCATGAAGTGAATCACCTTTCTTGTTGCCCTGCCCAGAGGGGTCGGCGTGGATACAGAAGTTATATGATCTTTTCTTCAAGGCACTCTTACGTAAAGATAGTGGAGGGGTTCGACTCAAAACACAGTTTGGGTGAAGGTTGGATACTCCAGTCCTGTCCGTCATCAACATGGAGTTGAAGAAGGCATTGTTCTCCACATCAGCGTCGGTGAACACAATGTATGCCCAATAGTTGATGGGAACCTTCTTCGCTGTGTGGGGTGGCGAGCAGCGAACGCTGACGGGATAACTCTGCAAGTTCTTCGCGTCCAGTTTGTCTTCGATTTTCCTGGCAGGGGTGTATATACCCAAAAATAATTGAAACAATTTGAGACAACTATCCTTCGAGGTTATCATTGCCCTTTTTGTGTTGTTAATAATGGATCGAATTAGTTGAGCTGAACCTAATTATTTTTGATTGTCCCCCAAGATACCCCAAGTCCTCAACTCTCCTCTGGCACCATTGGAGGTGCGCTCTGACACCAACCATGGAGCCAGCATGAAGCAAACTGAGTGATTGGGTTTTCGAGACAGCGCCTTCTTGACCCTGCTGGTCACCTCATCCAAGTCCTTGCCACTGAGGCGGCCGTACTTCATCAAGTCCACCCAAAGTATCACACAGCCGTTGGCGCCATAGATGGTGGACATGAACTGGCAGGGTACTCAGGGTGTCATCTTGGTGGCTTTTGGGGTTGGGCTAGGTGGTATTTATGTGGAACACGGCCCAAGCAGTTTTATGGGAAATAGCACCGCCTTGGCCAAGTGAGAGTCAGCCTCTGGGCAGACAAGGGCCACATGGAAGCATTGTTTCTCTGCAAACTTAGTCACTAGCTGGGCGCCAATGTTGTTCTGTTCGCGCAGATGTGTCACTTTCATCAGACGCCGTGTCTTCTCATTGGAAACTGCTGCCTGGAGCAAGCGAGCGCACATGCTGGCATCACGACAAAGTTTCAAAGTATCTGCCTCCCATGCTGCGTTGCAGCGGTTCTGATCAAGGGTTTGGATCTTTTCCTCTGCCTCGCCCAATGCTTGGCTCTCTTTGTCCTCGGCCTCTTTCTCTGGTGCGTTCTCAGTCCACATGGTTGTGATGGAAGGTTGGAACGTAGGATCCGCCGAAGCCAAATGGATTCCAAGATCATCATGGTAGTCCCTGATGCTGACGTCAGCCCATGGAAACTGAAATGAGGTGACAATTAATTACAAATGTTTCAGGTGGTAAAACGGAAATTGTATCCAAAGTCTAGATTGAGGATCCCTTCCACAAAGCGAGTGCGGCACATCTTCAAACACGAATCAGAGAAAACGGTCGAATTGTTTTTGTCAGGGTCCCGGTACTCCTTCATGGCTTCCAAGACGTAGGCAGCCACACAAGCTAGGTTCACTTCCTTGTCCCACTGTTGCGAAGTTACCCTGACGGCTTGGGTACTGCTGGAAGATCTGGAAACAGCCAATGCATGAAGGGCGAAAATTCGATTAAGGAAAAGGTCCTGCTTGTGGTTCTCCACTTTCAGGATGTCCCTCCACTGGCCATCACTCCCCTCGGCCGTGCTCCCAAGAAGCCACCGTTCGCTCAGGAGATGGTCACGACCAAAAGCTGCAGGGGCACTGAGTGAGGAACTATAGGAAACAAATCCACCTAATACCTACAACACAAGTTATTTTCGACAAGATTGGGGAACCCCAGCCTGATCGCTCACTGCGATAGACATGGAAATGCTTCTCCACAGCCCTCCATGATTCATCGGTCAAACCAACCTTGGGTTTTGCTTAGCCCCCCAGAAATTTTAAGATTCAACAAAAATCCATTGTCAGTGAATTCATCCAACAAAAGATGACTGTTCAAAATTAGGGACTTTGAGCCCATACAGCTTCAGCGCCATGTTGGTGTCAATCTGGAGTTTCCTGTTTGACATCGCAGCACCATAGTTGTTGTAGTCTTCGCATGCTTTCAAAAACGCGTCTCGGTACTGCACTGATGGGTTCTCAGCCTGTGGGTTGCTTCTCAAAAATGTAGGACCAGGGCTTTCAGAACAGATAATAAGGTGGCAACATTAAAAGTGAAATCATTTGGTAGAACCACCCGGTTCTTGATAGTAACAAATTAATTGGGCCATATTGGGCCCATGTCAGTCCTGCAATCGAACTGCATGGGAATGGAAGATCAGGCATTGTTGCAGATAGTTCTTCTGCTGACGCAGTGCTTGCTGCTGGGACATCTGGAGCCGACGAAAGGTGTAGAATTCCGGTTTCTGCAATACAATGTAGACACATTGCATGGACATCGCTGACCTCATCCACCTGCAAAATCGTGGCTGAGGCTGGCAGTTTTCACCCAAGAGCTAAAGCCCATGTTGCTAAAGGTTTTTGCTTGTTATTGGGAAAGCACAAAGCACCTTAAGTTGGATTTGGACAAGAATACCAAGTGGACACCTCTCGTAGTCATGGGATCTGACAAACCGTAAAATTGAACATGAATCGGCCAACGCTGTTCTTACTACCAACTTTGATGTCATGTGTCCAAGGAATATTTTAATGGTACGGATCTGATCCCATTCCCACTCGGAAACAAATATGGTTATAACAGTCATAACAGCTATTATATCACACTGCCCCACTTAAAACGATCATTAACATTATCATGGAACACCCTTTTTGTAACAAACAAAAATATTATCACGGAACACCCTTATTGTCTTAAGTCCTCCAGCGTCATGCCCTAACCAAAATTATCATCACCAAAAATCGATGGGGAATTTGGGTTCGATTACCACTATTAACTGTGGGGTTATGTGCTTTGTTTTTTTTGTTCTTGGTGGTGCCATTTCACCCAAGGCAAGCAATAAGTATATATAATCATTGCACACCAGCCAAGTGTGCAGAAAGGGTTTCGGACTCTAATTAAATACGCGTATGAGCATCGCTCTTTCTGACCCTCTTCTAAGCAACGCGCAAGTACATATATAACATATACTATGGAACAATGTTTTTCGCCGGAGACAGGATGACCAGATGACCAACAAGGTCAGTCAATAAAGGTTGCTCGGAGTGCACACTGCCGTGAACTTGGAACCTGTTACCAGATCTTGCCATGCTTGGTGGTTACTAGTCATGCATCTACCACAAGGTGGCGCTGTGTTTCATGTCATTGCGGCGCTGTACATATTCTACCTTCTACATGCAGGCTGGCACCTTGCATTGCCCTGCGCCCTCATGGAGCGGCCGCAAAGCGGTGACTGAGCACAAGCCCCCCAGGTTGCTCCTGATAGAACTTAGATCTGAAACTCCAATGCGCGCTGTGAGCGAGAGTATCGCTCGCAAGTGCTAGAACATTTTTTCAAACACCGGCTACAGTGCTTTTGCTGATTATAAACAATATTTATAGATACATATGTGTGTGTGGTGTAAAAAATAACACCAGTAGATACATAGATAGAGAGAGGGAGAGAAAAAATATATATATATATACATATAATATGTCGTAATATGTTGAGTCCGAAACCTTTTCAACAATACAGCAGAACGCGTCCGTTTGCTACCCTCGCCACCAGCTTGGCAAAGGCTTTGTTTCAAAAAATGGCTGCTGCCACTGAAAGATTTGAAGGCGCTGTCAATTCCATGACTGGGTGCTGGGTATGGAGATTTGAGGAACGATCAAACTGAAGGAATTATTTTTCTTTCAACTTCAGCTTATTTTGCACCTAGAACAGGTGAAAAAACACTGGAGAATGTTTTCCCTCCACCTTACACGTATTTGTTTGGCCTTAGACCACAATTCATGATATCTGAAAGACGGTTTGGTCCAAATCTTCCCCCCAGAACAGGTGAAAAACACAGGGGAATGGTTTCCCTGAACCTTTTGGATTTTTGTATGGCCCCAAAACTCCTATTATAAACAAACAGGGACGACGGTTTGGACCAAATCCTCACCCCAGAACAGGTGAAAAAACACAGAGGAATGGTTTCCCTTAACCTTTTGGATTTCTGTTTGGCCCCAAACACCCTATTCCAAACAAACAGGGACGACGGTTTGGACCAAATCCTCACCCCAGAACAGGTGAAAGAACACAGGGGAATGGTTTCCCTTAACCTTTTGGATTTCCGTTCCGCCCCAAACACCCTATTACAAACAAACAGGGACGACGGTTTGGTCCAAATCCTCACCCCAGAACAGGTGAAAAAACACAGGGGAATGTTTTCCCTTAACCTTTTGGATTTCTTTATGGTCCCGAAACCCATATTATAAACAAAGGTGAAAGAACACAGGGGAATGTTTTCCCTGAACCTTTTGGATTTCTGTATGGCCCCAAAACTCCTATTATAAACAAACAGGGACGACGGTTTGGACCAAATCCTCACCCCAGAACAGGTGAAAGAACACAGGGGAATGGTTTCCCTTAACCTTTTGGATTTCTGTTTGGCGCCAAAACCCTTATTCCAAACAAGCAGGGACGACGGTTTGGTCCAAATCCTCACCCCAGAACAGGTGAAATAACACAGGGGGATGTTTTCCTTTAACCTTTTGGATTTCTGTTTGGCCCCAAAATCCCGAGTCTAAAGGAATAGGGACGACGGTTTGGTCCAAATCCTCACTCTCATATTGGTGCCTTTTAGGACATGAGTCCATTGAAATTTTGAAAAGATTCCTCAGTCAAAAAACAAGAATCCCATTTAGATGTGACAAGTAGGAAACCCATGCCCAGATCAAAAGCATCACCCCTTCAAGCCCCACATTTTGGGGAAGGCTAGGGCGAGGGTTTCAGTGAGACCCTCACCCCAAGGCAAGTTCGAGGAAAACAGGCAACTTTTGAACTCACTTTCGATCAGTTTTTGGGCTTGGTTACCCATTGACTTGGCTAAGTAAGCCTGCCCACGACGGTTTCACTGAGACCCTCACCCTATGTTATCCTCAGATTCAATTACTTCCAGGGTGACCCTTTTGATCCCATAGCTCAAAAAAATGATGTTCCCTTTGTAACTGGCCTGCTGAAATCCCTGGTCTGATCATCTGTGAGATCTTGGGATAGCTTCTTCCATGTCCACAGCAAACCAAACCATAGCATAGAGATTCTGCCGATGCCCTTGTTGGGGAGTAGGCACGCAAACCCCAAAGCATCACCCTTCTTCATCTCCTTGTTGTGCAGCCTCAGCTCTATGGTTTCCCGGTGCCCTTCAAATCCGATTGCATAGATGTCCCGAGCTGTCGTAGCCCAATCTTCCAGAATGGGAAGCCCGTCCTCAGGCTTCTCCAGTGCAATGGACAAAAGGCTCACGGCGAACGGCACTAGCTCATTGAGCTCCGGGTCCTGGTGCGGTACATCGTGCGGTGTGTGCCAAACATATTCTATGCAGCAGCATATCTGATATACATATATAAAACTATTACTGGGGACGAAATTTGATTCTTCAAAGCTAAGACTGCAACCATGCAATGTCTGATCAATAAATCTGTTTAGGAAACTTGTTTCTGAAACATCAGTATGTTGTTGGTACTAGGGATGCCCTATATGTTGTCATTGCCAATCATAAGTTTGATGAACTGACATAAGCTGAATGTGAGTTGTGTTACGTTAATTTCTTAACACTGTGATACGTCTAATACTTTGGGGGTACATCTAGCCACCAGAACACTGATTATTATCCGAAAAAGGTGATTGTTGGTGGTTTGCCCAGCCCTCAAGAAGACTTTACTGTTGAGGCCGTTGGCTTTTGGAGAATTGGTTGAATTCCTTTGATTGTACATTACACTTCTGGGACAACTTCGAGGAAGGTTAGCGGGCACTTATCCAAGCCAATCTTCGGGCATTGAGGCAAATTCTGGTAGATGGAGGTCAGGAATCTTCTCCACAAGCCACGATTTCAACGGTTCAAAAGTCGCGGGGTCTGCTAAGATCTCAAGGACATAAGACACTGGGTGCTGATTCTTCATCGCATCGAAGGACCTGGGTATTGTAAAGATTGGTGGGATGTAGAAGTATGGTATGCATATCAGACAAATAAGATGTGAGAACAATCGGACATTGTAAGGCCACAGGTTTCCACATTTTTCAGATATAGAATAAGACATCCCTTGGCACAGTGACGGGCTCACTGAACAATTGTAAAAGAAATAAGGACCCCACCTCACAGCATCACAAATACGATCGACCCATGGGCCCAAACACAGCTTGGCTGTCTTTGAGCGACTACCGCTCCCAGAGTTCGTTGCAGCACGCTTTGGCATGGTGAAACAGTCACCCCTTTGGGAAAGTCAGAGCCGCTATGGAACCCCAAAATGGAAAAGGATGTAACAGGTTGACTTTTCACATTCTTGCTGCACGATGATAGCAAGGCAATGGTTTCACGTAGGTTTGGTGCAACAGGAACATATTTTCTGCCGTGCGCACCGGAAATTGGAATTAAATGACTTCTCACTTTAGCCACATCAATTTTCGAATTAAGGGGCATGAAATATGATACCAGCCTTTGGCCAAAAGAAATGCCCTTGCCCAGAAACACTATGTTGATCTATGTTGAAATAGTGGTGTGATTTCAATGGTCTGTCATTTTTGGACATCCCTTTGACCTGGACAGCATGTTGCACGCTTCCATGTAGGCCTCCATGTAGCTACCAAAAAACATACCTTTCAAGGCATCTCAGCCGTCGGTGCGCCTTTCCAGGCACATCACCATGGACAGAATGAAAGCAGCGACGCAAGGCACATTCATGGCATTTCCTGCCATGACGGTCTGGTCACGGGGTGAAATCCCTTCGAGATTGATTTTTGGGGCTCCTGCCACCCTGGCAGCTTTGCTGGTGGTGGGAAGCAAATGGGTACACAGTGCTTCTTCTGGGTCCAACTTTCGCTTCAGATCCTTCAGGGTTTTTCTGAATAGAACATGACAACAGTTATGTAACATTCAATCATATTACTGGGCCATGTATATTGTAGTATATTCCGCAAGTGCCCCATGGGATAACATTTGTTGGGCCATAGTCCCTCTAATGTGGCTAGTTTGGGGGTAACATTAATATCAACGCTGCTTTTGAAGGCAACGAAACCCCATCGTTGTGAACCCCAAAGCCCCTTTGAAACCCAAGGTGTGTTGGGACCATTAGTTATTTGATTTGCTGTGGTGGAAACCAAGCTCCTCACTCCAAATTGTGCCAGAGTTAGTTGTCAACGTTTGGAGGGTCCCATCCGAACATTCTGCCCTGGGCCGGTTGGTGGCAATCTGGGCCAAATCGGGAAACTTCTTGTGGGGCAAGATCTGCAGGTAGTCTTGGCGGTTCTTCTCCTGGGAAAGACAAAGGATTGAATTCTATCATTATGTAAACTTGACATTTTCCCGCATCAAGAAAATTGTTTGCTTGGCATCCCTAAAAATTTATCCCGGCAAGAGACCCCAAACAGTGTGGGGGGAGTAGGAGAATAATATATTACTTTAATGTAGATGATGATGATGTTGATGATGATGGTGAGGACGATGATAGGAAATGAATAGGTCTCTGGCCAATGTAGTTTGACGCTGGCAATGTAGGGACAGGCTCAACGTCGTCATTTGTGTGTACTATTCATTGAGTTGATTCCCATGTTGAATTGACAGTTGTGACGTGACACAGTTGCCCGAAGACACTAGAAGCCGAAACACATATCACAGATGCACCGAATGCTGCGGAAGTTCAAAACGTGACACAACAGGACGAGACGGAGAAAAAGCTGATGTTGAAGAGGAATGTGATGATGTTGAGGAAGATCAATGATGATGATGATGACGATGATGGTGAGGATGACCATGGTCATGATGATGATGATGATGATGATGGTGATGATGATGAAGATGATGATGGTGATGATGATGATGATGATGATGATGGTGATGGTGATGGTGATGAAGATGATGATGGCGGTGAGAATGATCATGATCGGTCGAGAACCTAGGACCACACTTTGTGCGAGCCTGCGCAATCAAAATGCACGTCGACATTTCACGAGGGACACAGGAAAAATGCCGCGCCCCAGAGGGAGCACCAGAAGCTAGGGCCACACTTTGCTGGAGCCAGCGCAGTCAAAATGCATGTCAACATTTCACAAGAGCCACTTCATACGGAAATTTACACGCAGACCAGAGTCTAGGACCACACTTTGTGCGAGCCTGCGTAGTCGAAATGCATTTCAACATTTCACGAGAGCCACTTTACACAGAAATTTACAGGAAAAATGCCGCGCCCCACAGGGAGCACCAGAAGCTAGGACCACACTTTGCGCGAGCCTGCGCAGTTGACATGCATGTCAACATTTTACAAGAGCCACTTGACGGAAATTTACAGATCATAAAATGCCGCAGACCATGAGTCTAGGACCGCACTCTGTGCGAGCCTGCGCTGTCCAAATGCACTTCAACATTTCACAAGAGAGACTTTACAAGGAAATTTACAGGAAAAATACCGCACCCCAGAGTGAGCACCCTGACCTACCGCAAAAAAAACCCAGTGTGGACACACTGTTTGGGGAAATAACACCCCAATTTCATAGACCCCGAATCTATATTTTGATGTGCCCTGTCCTGGCTTGGGGGCAGCTTGATTTCAGGGAGGTCTTTCCAGAAATAGTCTGCTGCTGACAGCACTGGGGTGGACATCAGGCATTGCAGGATCTCTTTCAAATCCATCCCCTGAATCCACTGGAGCCGGTCTTTGCGCCAAGCGATGGCATATCGACGCGATCTGGCGACCCCCTGGCCAAATAGTCGAGGGTCAATAACCTCTGACTTCACACCCCATTTGTTTGATACATTCTGGGACACATTCTCTTCCCCATACTCCGGCACATTCTCAACCAAACCCATGTCGTGATCCTCATCTTCAAGAAGGTTGTAGTGTCGTTCATGTGTTGCCCATGTAACATCATCAGTCTGGAGTCGGTTTCCCATTCGGCTAAACGCCACGCAAGGTGGTCCTTACAAGGTAGTTTTTTCTGGGGAAACACCAAAGTACTAAACCATCCTTCTGGGAACTACAAATTTGTTGGAACAAATGTCATAATAGTAAATTTGCATCAGCAACCTTGCTGTCAAGCTTCCAGACACGTTGACTTTCAAACCTTGGCTGGCTTGGGGAGAAGAACCGGGAATAAACCTTTTGACCCAACAACTAGGCATTTGCTCATTTTGACATGGGCAGTATTTCGGTCATGGGACGCTTACCATCGGCGGTCTTCGTCACAGGGCACTTCTTCCCATGGGTTGTGCAAAACAAAGATTTGCATTTCTTGTCATAGGTCAAGATGTCCCCAAAGTTGCATGAACCGCAGGTGTTCTTGAGAATTTGTTGACACGGTTCCTTCCATTCAAAAGACCATAGCTTCTTGACGAAGGGATCAACCAATTGTTTCATGGATCGTGATCGAAGAAACTTCTTGGCTGCACTCTCCAAGCTCAGCACTGCCTTGATGGGTCACTGAATCACAGGGAAATTCTTATCCTTTTGGTTCCAATTAACAAAAAACATAAAACATAATGTTGAAATTGGATCGAAGTACAGATTCAGCACACCCGATTCCTGCGAAGCACGTGGTCAGATCCCATCGCCATGCCTGAAGGCGCTGTTCAACGAAAGCGGCTCCATACTTCTTGGCCAGAGCCTTGATGAACTCCTGGGGCCAGCCATAGGCTCGGGAGAGGGACTTTGGGCCACGGGCGCAGCTGGCATCTGGAAAGGCTATGGTGCACTTGGGAAACCTCCTTGTTTTTGCAATGGTCTTCCTTAGATGCCACAACAGTTCCCAATTAACAAACCCTGTTGGCAAAGTACCTTTGACGAAGGGAAGATCAAACAAATACAACCCTAAAAACGGTTCTAAATTCAGATCCAATTTCTTGACGCCAAGTGATTTTTTCTGCTTGGGTACCATCTTCTGGTCAACATTGCTCTTAGAACATGCCATAGCTTGCACAGCTGCTTTGATGTTCAGGACAGGCATGAGGGTAGCCCTTCAACTGATAAAGTTCTACGTATTTTTCACCCTTTGAGCACAAATGAATGAGAAGCATAAACTCAAGTTCACCCATCTGATGTGTGCCACATCCATGATTTAACTGCCCCAACAAGTAACTGCCATGTGGTTCAGCGTGTTTCAAGTAGCTAGCACCTTGCTTTTATACCCATGGCGCTTGCACTGAGGTTGTCCATCACTGAGCAGATGGGCTTCGCGCCTGCGGACGTGAGCGTGGATGATTGAAAGCCCCTGAGATAGAGTTCTGGACTCTGTGGGGAAGAGTAAAACCATCTTGAGCCCCTCTTGCAAATAATGATTGAAAACCCAGGCCCGGCCTCAAATTTTCTTTTCTTGCTAGGGGTGCGACTTTCAGATACCTTAGGTTCACACAGGGTGCATAGCTCCAACGCAATGTGGGTCCAATCATTTACCCTTGTGTGGACACACATCCTTTGCACAGACCCAGTCATACACCTTTTAAGCTCGAAAGGGTGGAAGTGGATGGCTTTAAGCCAAAGAGCGTCAGGAACTGTGTCAGAATCAGGCCCTGGGCCAGCTGGCACGCTCGTCAACTCCTTGGGCGATGGGAGCATCCGGCAGTCCAATACAGGTGATGGGTGTTTTATAAACCGTATGTTTCCTAGTTGGACCTTGGATTGCTGGCATGGCTTCGTATAGCACATTGTGAGCTACCAGCGCTATACTGATGTGATGATTGGAACGAACTAGCATCTTGACAAATAAGAATTGTGCATCATAATCATTATTGCGTGTTGTACCAAGTTGCTGCAGCAAGGGCTGCTTCTTCTTCAGCTCGGATCACTTTCCACTGCGAATCCTCCTTAGGAGCTCGCGTTGCGTGCAAAACAGAAGGGGTGGCTTGCAGAGAGCCGGTTCAGGTGAGTTTCAGTCAGCCACAGATCATGAAGATCAGGTGCCCCAGAAGCAATAATAATAACATCGGGAGCAACAGCCTCAAAGGCCAGCAAAAAAAAATCCTTCTTGATCAAATGGAAAATGGAGAACGCAGGTTTCAGGCTAGCCATCGTGTGCACATGCAGTCTGAGAGACCTCAGGTTCGACTGAAGGCATCCCTTCAGCCATAGGCCCATGGTTGACCACGCCATTGTCCTTTTTTCAAAACCGTGAACCCAAGAAGTGTATGATAGTTTGAACAAGTCAATAAAGAACTGGATACTTGTCATAGCCCACAAACACAACTCAGACGAGACTCCGGTACACTTTGAGAAGACATGCTGGCGCAGGCGCTAATTACAAATTAAAGCTGTTTGCCTTTACGACCTTGCAACCCCAAAAATGGACCTTTGAGCCTTCAGCTTCTTACGTTTTGATATCAAGCAGCAATGTGAAACAACCTTGGCTTTCCAAACCACAACGTGCACTTGCACAACACATGAACATACATAGTTCTTGCAACAAATTTTCTGTGGGTTCCATGTTCAGGAAATCATCGCAAAGTGGCCCTGAATCTCATTGCAGGGACATGGGTTCGAAACAAATATGGGTTGGAGGTATCGATTTCATCGACTCCCCCCGTTGTAGAACAGAACTCCAGTTGCGGCAAAACATCCACAGTTGTTTCCAACGCTTCAGTGGCCAGTGAAATCAAAAATTGCATAGTTCGCCTGGTAGCCTCAGTGGGTGCCCTGTTGGTTAAAACCTCTGCTAGTTCTAACCATCTCTGCCTCTTTTCCAGAGGCAGCACCTGACAAGGATGTACTTCTTGAGGAAGTTGGGTGCCCAAACGAACGAGGAAAGCAGCTGGCAATGCCAACATCGGGGCCTCATAGGGAAAGCAATTAAGACATAACCTTTGTTAATGGGAGCAAATCCAAGTCTTGACAATGAATTCTTTCACACAGTTGATCTGCAAGACCTAGCCTGGGCAAGATCTGAATCGGACATATACCTTTTGACTGCCACAATCACATCATTGGGGCTCATGGAGGCAGTGTGGGCTCCAGGTCCATAACTTTCAATTTGAACATGAGGTGGGCAATCTCAGGGGTCAGGCGCATGGCTGATTGGGGAACGATAGTGGAACCTATTCAAAACAAACATTAACATGACACTGGTCACTGCACAATTTCTCCAGCCTTTTCTCTTGAAGAAAAGAAACGAATGCATGCCAGAGCAGTCATCTCGAAGACCCCCATGAAAGTTGATACCAAGAGGTTTCATCCTGAGGTAACATATTGATTGGAAAGGAAACAGCAAATTTGGGACTTACCACAATTTCTAATTTCAAAACATAATGCGTACCCCAGCAACCACCCCTTCCAATCTCGAACGCCGCGCACATAAGAAACATCGATCTCGCAACCGTTCCCCAGAAACGATTGTAGCTTCAACTTGTGGAGGATCTGCTTAAGTTTCCTCAAGGGGATGTCAACCAGGAATGGAAGGCCAAAAGATATTACAATTGAGAAAGTGCCAGAACATACATAGTGTGAAAAAGAATGCACCTTGTGTCACAAAGTCAAGCATCATCACAACATCTGGTGGGTCAGCAAGAACATCAATGTATTTGAAGGAACAGGCTAATATTCCGAATATTTGATCTCGGCGAGACAGGGTTTCACATTGAAGCAGCCCCTGGGTTCTTTGGATCTAAAACGATTTGGAAAACTGAGAAACACACAAACGGACAAACGGAGGCAAAACAGAATCTAAACAGAACCTAGCACAAGGCAAATTCCAAGGCACCTAGAGGGCCATGTGTGTGTCCTGCTCGGGCCATCATGAGCCCCCCAGATCTGAATCGGTGTTTTGCTATCATGGTTGACATCCATGATAAGACCGTTGCATTCTTTGATTCCTTCACAGTGTTATCACACATCACCAGCATATGGTGTGGCATCTTGTTTCCCATTTTTGCTGCAACTTTCTCCAAAGACCGGGAGGCAGTTTCACAGATGGTGTTTGCACCCGATCCTTGTCTTGGGTCGACCACATAGACGTGAAGTCCAATTGAGTGGCACCAAACTGCGTGAAGCTTTACCTTTGGACGTTGGTAGCGACCAAGTTCTTTTGCATTGACAAATTCACGAAGTCGTGGTAGAGCCCACTTTGCTTGGTCCATGCCATCCTTAACAAGCAATCTCCAAGTAAAAAACATTTTGCCCATCACCCAGATGAATCTAAGTTGAGCTGAGAAACCCACATGAGGAATAGCGTGTTGGAATCGGGGTGTCCAGTTCGTGGATCCAACGCCTCCCGTGGATAGGTCTAAATGGTATGCCAGTTTGTCTTAACATTATTTTGAACCACCCACAGTCAAACCAGAAAGAAGCCTGAAAGTGCTGCTCGAGACAACGGTCCCTCTTCACACCATCGGGGTGCGTCTTGTATGCACGAACCACATTGTATTTTGTTTGAAGGTCCTTAGGCATACATCGAATTCAAAAGCCCTCCCCTATGGACCTGCCCATACAGCATGTCACTGTGACATTCGTTGGACTGGAAGTGATTAAACATCCAAGTTGTCATGACCATGAAACCAATCCAAGGTACCTGTGCCAGACGGTACGATTGTTTGAAGTCTGAGCAATCATCACATGCCAGTTGGTCAGATACACTAGTAAACGTCATAACTTTGGCCCACTTCTCGGTGTACCTTCTCCAGAACGTCTGGTACCTTAACTTGCAACGAACCATAAGTTAATATCCATGACTTGGGTTCAACCATAAACTGTCAATAGACACTGAGCTCATGTTTTCATACAAGTCACGAACATCTTTGGCCAAACTGAAGCCACAACATCTTCAAATTGCCAGGCGGTAATTTTCTGAAAGGCAATCTGGACACATCATTGCCATAATTTGTTTCGATCAACCTGAGTTTCCGCAAAAACATTCTCTCAAACAAAATTTCTCTTTCACTGAAGGCTTTTGAGAAACTAGGAGCACGGCCTTTAGATGGCCGTGTTTTTTTTTGATTCGTGGGATGTTGCTGATCATATTTGATGTGCTTGTGCTAATAGGAATTCGTGTGATTTTAGTGTGAAGGCTGCGAACGCCTTATTTCCAAGCAGAAAAATGAAAACAGCCATTTCGCCTACATGAACCCTACATGTTGAGGTTTTCTTCAAAGCCCCCAACTAATTCGTTCTCACAATTTTCAGCAATCTTTTCTTCACAGCAGCGCTTCAAGTTCCCCCAAGAACTTTTTAGGATCTGGATTCTGAAAGCTTGATTGCCAGCACCACATGAACACATATTGTGTCACGGAGGGGTGCAAAGTGGAATGTCCACGCTCTTTGAATTTCACAACCGGCAGCCACAACCGAGTGCCACAGCGTAGCATCTACTTCATGTGCAAGTTCACATGAACGTTCACACACACATGCCCCACCCACCCCACCCCACCCCACTCCCCACCCATGAATACATGCCCCAACCGACAGCCACAGCGTAGCATCTCTTTCATGTGCAAGTTCACATGAACGTTAATAAATACACCCCACCCCCTACCCATGAATACATGCCCCACCCCACCCCAACAAAACACCACGGCCGTCTAAAGGCCGTGGTCCAACTAGTTGTATCCACTTGTTGTAAGCCCGGAAACCGTTTCCATGTCAACTGGTTGCTCATAGCAAAAAGTTTTAGTTCCTCGTCGTCCTCAAGTCGTTCAGCAGCAAACTTTAAAGAATCTTCATCATCAGCTGCATCGTCCTCACTTTCATCTTGGTCACCTTGTGTCCGGCGAGCGTGACCCCATAGAAAGCACAAGTGACACTAGTGGGTTTGGGCAAAGTGGGCAGCTAACTGGATCTAAGTGGTTTTGGGCTAAGTGGCGTCCTTGCTCGGATGCACCAAGTGAAGCAACAAACTTCTCAGGTTCGTTCTTGGGAGCGTCGTCTGCACCCCGTTTTTGCCCTCTGCGTTGGAACCTCAACTTGAAGACCCAATAACATTTACATTTGACTTGGAATTGGGGCAAAAACGCGGTTTTGAGCAGTTAAGGAACAAAGCCAAAGATGACAAGGTTTTCACCCACATTAATCGAAGTGAGGAAACTTGTCGGGAAGCAAGCCTCCAGCATACACATACATCTCAAGAAAGAAGTCGTCCACAAGGCCAGCTTTGACCGCAGGTTTCACAGTGACCTAGGCTGCAAACTTATAGGGGACACAGAAAACTCCATCACCACAAACATCAAACCACCAAAAACCACCAAAAACATCAAACCAGTGCGATTGAGGGGCTGCCCCAGTGATTTGGTATCGGCGGTCAATACGTCCAGTGCTACAGAAACGTCGTTCATTGATACCCAATGCCATTGCAACACACGCCCTGGTCATGTGAACCCCCAGCAGCTTCCAAGCTCTCGGAGCACCATCACCGCCACGAACTTGCTCATACAACTGAGTTGCGAGAGCTATTGGGGGATGGAAGAAACCCATGGAAACCCAACCCATTACCTACACGTGCCAAACCTACGCCTGGAAATTGAGAGGCCATACTCATGAGATCCCTGTTGGGTGCCTGCATCCAAGCCACATAAACATCTTGTTGCAGTTTGGTCAGCCCCCAGAACAGACCTAGAAAGGTTATGAGCTCCGCAGTAACAGAATGCAGCTTTCGGAAGCAAGCCTTGCTACATCTACACGAAGACTCCCACAAAGAATCTATTCGCCGCCTGCTCTTGCCATTCATCTTGTGCCTAACGTGCTGGGTGCTAACTATGTTCCCAAGCTTTTCCTGACTCCAAACCTCAAATCTATCCGAACACACTTTTTCATTGAAGTAAAAATTTGACTGGGCCACTAAGTCAAGAAACGCCATTCGATTGGCAAATTTGGCATTCAGTTTGCGAAGTCGGTTGTCGTAGTGAGGTCTCTTACCAGTCCCCCTCCCAGTCGACGAGCTGGCAGCACCACCAGCTACAGCAGAACGTGTGGTAAAACCCTGCAGGCTAGCAAGATCTAGGCAAACCTCTGGAACGAGTGAGCCCGCACCATCCTCCAAAACCTGCTTGGGAACAATTGTTTGACATGGCTCCCCAACCCGAGAAAGATATGCAATCCTTTCATTGCCTATCAACTTGGTTGTTTTCACAGGAGCTGCCTCAGCTTTCCCTTCAGGAATTCTGGGCTGCCCCTTCTGCAAGCTTTTGAGAAAGCCAAGTCTTTCCCTTGACATCTGAGCAAAATAGCTGCAGGGTCATCCCAGTTTTCCTTCTTTGTCCCAACGGCTCCTGGCAGCCAAATGTAACGAAATCCCAACCAAATGTCATGAAATCTACTTTGGTCCTAAATAATCCTAAATTGTAGAACAATTTTGCCAAACAATTGTTTCGCCAAATATGCTTCAGCAATGTCTTGCTTGTGGCTTGATTTCAATCTCCAAAATACCTACTGTTAAAATTCTTCGGGATGGACCTGTTCTAAATTACCAATTTGAATGCCAACATGTCTCAACATCCACAAGATGAAATTCTTGCAACAACCTCCAAGATACCTAAGGGCTAAATTTTGGTACTGAGTCAGATATACCCCAAAAAATTGCTAAAAATGGGGCTGGAGCCCAAGAATCTCAGCAGCTAGGACCAGACAGGGATCTTTCGTATATCCCCGGGGGAAGCCCATCAGTTTTTCATGTTTTTCTCTCTCTGTATAACTGACGCCACCCTCAGATCCATTGGTTCGGCCTTTCGTTCGATCAAATACTCTTCCCGGTATGTACAGGGTGGAAACATCATGCTGTCTAACTGCCACCTCTTCACTGTGTCTTCATCACAGGAGTCCAGGCCGGCCGGGACCGCCGGTGGCCACCGCCGGGGGATGGTGTGCGTGAACGTGGGGAGCCTCAGTTGCGGGTCTTCTTCACCCCATTTCCACCTCCAACAAGCATCAACAACCTTCTCCAAAGGTCCTACAAGCTCCTCGAATTCCACCTCTGTGAACAAGCTGCGACTCAGGGACAGGGACGTGTAGCGCTCATGCTGTTGAAGGCCCACGTTGCTCCAGGAGAGGCGGGGTCTTCTGACACGAGACACCCCACCGGCGCAGACCCTACTTGGCTGAACGCCTAACTCATCACTCGATCATCTCTGAGATGTCCTCATCATCGCCAATAACATTCTCGAGCACCCGCGCTGTCCACACTTGAAGTTCTTCTCCCAACTCCTCGATCCACCCCAGCACCTGGACGAAGTCAAAGAAGAGGCTTAACGGAGTCCAGCGATCACTCCCGTCAGCCCCGGTACACTGTGCATCCACTTTTCCACATCCCGCTTTGTCACCCTCTTGGTATCCACGACCAGGTCACATCCCGGCCAGCGCGTTGCATTCAGCCGGCGACATTCGGGATCCTGCTCCGCCACTATCAGGCGACTCCCGGGACCTTGGCAAGTTGCAGCGTCCTGCATTGGTCCCCCGGAAATCCATTATCAACCTCAATACTGCACGCTCATCCTCCAAAAAATTGTTTGGTTTCACCACGGCAAACGCACCATTCACCAGCGGTTTTCCTCTCAATTCTACTGGTTTCCCCACAGGCTCGACCAAGTGCCGGTCATAGAGCTCACGCGCAATCAGGTTCCACTGGTCCTGATTTGCATGGACCCTGGGCTCTGGCACATCAGCCGGCATCTCCTCTAACACCAGCAAGTTTTCAATTCACCATCGCACAGTTCAACAAGAGGCACGCTTCCTCCGTAACCACCTGAAACAGCCCTGGCTTTATTTGGTCCAGGGTTGGCCTTTTCCACAAATTCTCCGTAATATGAAATGCAGGCATCCCCCAGTCGTCGCCTCCAAACACTCATGAGGGGGGATTTCGGCGCTCTTTCCTTCGCCTCACTGGTGTCATCAGCGAAATCCTTCACGGCATTCCAAAGCCTCTCCAGGGCCTGCTTCTGCGGTTCACTCGGGGGTCCTGTTGGAACCCCTGGCTGTCTGCCCTCCTCCAGTCTACATGTGATTAAGGTACGTCACCACCAAACCATGCCTAAGGAGCCCGACCCTTGCTAACCTATACGAAACTCAACAGATTCGAAAACATCTTTTAGCGCCGACCTGGCATCGCTGAGGGTCTCGACAGCCACCTCCTGGCTCCTTTTCCTTTTCTTCTGTTCCTCTGTCCTACCTTTCAGGGGCCTCAAAAGCTTTTGGAGATGCTTCTGACTTTGCCGCCGCACCTCGGCCTCTCTTCCGGGAACAGGCTTGCGCAAGCCCCCTTCTGAGCTGATCTTTGATCGCTCCACTCACTTCAAACAGGGGGCACCTGAGCCGGAAGACAATCCCGGTGCCTTCTGGTCTGGCACAGCCGGTAGGTCGGTGTCATGGACAAGTAAGGAGGCGGAAGCATTGAAGCCAGGGGTCCCTGGACCGGGAGTTGGAGTAGCGGTCGAGGAAAGCCGCCAGGGATCAGTGGGAACTTTGCTTGAGCAGAAGGCCGAGGGCGTGAAAGCAAGGGATGAAAAGAGAAAGAGAAGAAGAAGTCGAACCAGGAGCCGAACAGCAGGAGACGTCAGAGGAGGAGACGCTCGGACCAGGCTAGTCCTGGGGAAAGCTTTCATTGGCCTGGTTTGCTCATTTTCGATCATAACCAGTGGGCAAGTCATCCGCCATCGATGAAGATGAACTAGCTCCCGGTGGTCTGCTCTGCCAAGCATCTCAGCCCTAGCGGTCTGGCAAACATGGTAAAGACCTTTGTCCCCCTCCAGCTCTTGGGCAGCGTGCCACTGATAATATTTATCAGATGCTGCCAGATGATCAGCCTGGAGGATGCCTCTTCCAAAATCAGCCCAGCCCCGAAGGCGCACAACAGCATTGGGGACGGCCTTGTGTGTCGTAACACTCGTATTCCATGATACTGTCCTTTCTCATTACACCACGGGCGTGCTCCATCATACGGCCCCGCAGTTGTTGGGCTTAACCACAACGGATCCTCAGGTTGCAAACCGCTGGTGATCAACTCACGCCAATCAGCCATCGTCCCCCCTTTTGACAACAAATCTCTCTTTGGCTCCTCTATTTATCACCAACCTGGGAGCTTCAGCTGCAAGTGGAACACGGGCTCAAACCCGAGGGGATAGGGCACTCACAAGAAGCCCGCCCGACAAAAAATGGGGCCTGGCCAGCCAAAGCTGTTGCCAGCCCACCCCACTAAGGTCCTGCCAGCGCACCTCTAAAAGCATAGTCCCCGTTCAGTCGTCTGTCCACAAGGGAAGCGGGACTGATCAGGGATGAGCCCCAAGCTACACTTGAGATGAGCTCCCGCCAGCTCCCCTCCCTCACGGGGAGGTCTGGAGAACAACCAAGAACCCACCTTGAGCTTGAAGCTTCGGTCGGACCGGGTGTTCGTGTATGCCCCTCCTTTGGAGATAACATATGATATTATATGTGTATATATATATATAAATGTCTGACTACCTATCTATTTATCCATCCGTCCATCCATCCATCCATCCATCTATCTATCTCCCTCTCTCTGTCTCTCTGTATGAGATAGTACGCATTTGCTCGCAACCTGCAGCTTTTGACCCCACAGGGCCACCCCACCACCGTTGTTTGAAGTTTCTTGCCTGGGTACGCTTCCTGTCACTTGGGAACACAACAAAATGAAAAAAAACATCGAACTTAGAAAAGTCACGGGCCCAGTTTATTTATTCTAGATGGTTTCTTTTTTCAAAACCTCCATGCCCCGGCCCCCAGTTGCATCTGTGCTGCGACCGAGCCGCGGCCTGACATTTCTCATAAGCCCTCTGCATCACAAACAGCCCTTCATAGCCTTGAAATCCAACCGATCCCAAATTCGCCGGAGCTTTTTCCTCAGCCAGGTCGTCGCTAACCCTGCCAAATCAGGTGACTACGTTGTAAACTCCTTTTGCATAGGGCCGAGTGCGAATCCTATAGCGTAGCAGGTACCTCAAAGGTATATTTACAGTCATACAAATCCAGCGATCCCCAAAAATGAACATCATAATCACTCCCCATATGCTCCATGTATAGTATATTTACCTATACATTTGGGTGATTTCTAGGGGGAAAGGTGGCAAATATTCCATACATGGAGCATATGGGTTAGTTAATACACGGAGCATCACGGAGCATACATGCGTGATGTTGCAATGAGTCCTTCATCCCAGTGCATGACGAATCCTGTCGACCCCTTTGCAGGAGGAAGGTTGGCCCTTGGGCTGGCGATCATTGATATGACATCACCTAGGGGACCAATTTTTGGATGATGTCCATTCATTTTTTGGTGAATCAATTCCAATGTTTGTTGGATACATCCCGATTCCTGACATGATAGAAGCAATGCTGTCCTTTTGGGAAAAATAGACGGCTCAGTTTCGATACCATTCATTATCACATTTATATACCTATTGAATATAGGTTGTAACATGTTAGAAAGGGGAGTCTGACATAGTCTAACCCCTCTTTCAACCAATAGGTCAATAGGACATCAGGACATCGATGCAAGATGATGCAAGGCGGACATCTTTCCGAGCTTCCTCGCCCATTTCGCTGAGCACAGATAAGAAGGCAGGCTGGTGGGACTGGTGTTCCTGGGCCCAGGGAATCCCATGTACCACCACTGGCTGGGTGAACCGAAGCCAGTGGCTAAGAAACATCTCCAACACTTCAAATCATGCACAAAGCATGCTTCCAAATTCACAAGCCTTCCCTCCAATTTTCTGTGACGGTGTTCTTTTATAAAGCATTCGAGGGGCTAGTTTCGTAAACAATCCATCATCATTGACTTGTTGGCCGTGACATATGGGATACCTCCAAATGCCAACATAGAGGGAAATCTACGGAAATCCCCATGTTTCATTGTAAGAAACACACTGGAAACAATATCCTTTGGAGGTGGTATGTCCAGCCAAACACGTAAGAATCAGAATTGTTGCTTTAGACTTCCAAATCGTAATCAACAACTCCCACATTTCACATATTTCATGGCTGGTTACAATATTAAATCATCGGGAAAAACTATGTAAATCCCGGATTAATCCTGGATTGACTTCATCAAGATTGCAGCAAGGCCTGAAAAAGCAACAGGTCAATCGTGATTATCATCCCGGACATGGGCGAAGAGGAAAATGCGTTTGAACCGACCAGCCACACAGCGTCATCCCGGTACTAATATGAAAGCGTTGATTGGGTTTCTGGAACTGCCCATTCAGGAAAAGAAAGTGACATTTCGATTTTTGGGAATATATCTGGGCGAGGGGCCTCAAGAGATTTGGTGTACCCAATTTTCAAACCCATACTGTATGTATCGATATCTCTATAGCAAGACCCGAAAAACAAAAACAAAGTAAATCCCACTAAAAAATTGTAGGAAATAGAACCTTTTCTGTTTTATAAAAGTGCTGCTGTATCAACATACCTAATGACCAATCAAACATGGGGAATTTAAGACACCACCTGGCCCCACTTTCAAGTGTAGGCACCCAAATCTCCAGTGCAACCTCGGTTCAGCCATAAGTAGTTGGTGTATAACATATACGTAGAGCAACTGTTGGTTTTATGGTACATGTGATATATCCCTTTAAACTTAAATACGATGTTGACGCCCAGTTGGTTGTTTACAGACACACAATTTTTTGGCGATTGTTTTCGAATGTTTCTATGTTGTTGACATACATTTTTTACGTTTGCATTTTATTTATGTTCTATCTCCTCAACACTTTCTGTCGTCGATGCCCTTGGTCAATTTCCGGCTGTGTTTGCAAGCGGTTATCTAATATTTTATATTAGAATCAACTTGGAATTTCATGCAATTTGTTGGAAACAGTTGCTATCATTGTGGATATTGATATCACGCACTGCAAATTCCAGGGGTTCTCAGCCTCCCCCAAGGCACATGGTATGTCGGAGGCCATTCGCATTCGCTGTAGTTGTTGAAGCCTGCTGGACACCCCGTCACCGCCAGCAAAGTTCCGAAACCATTCGGCCGCCCGGTCTTTACCTTGGAGTTTGGACCGCGCTGCCCCATGGTAGTCATGTGCGAATGGTTGTGAAAAAATGCCTTTCCATCCCACCAACTCTAGCAGAAACCCTGCCAAGTAGGGGGTTGGAATATGTTTTTCATCCTAAAATTGTTGATTTTGTGAATGCTAATATGGGAAATGGTGCTAGCACCTGTCTTGCCGGTGGAGAAAAAGGTCTATAGCTTCTCCGGTGATGTTTCCAGTCAGCTGGTTCCAAATGTTCTCTCAAGATTGAGGCAGGGCGGGCAAACCTGACAATGAAAATTAACCCCTTTGATCCGATTATGTTTTTTCCTAACTAATTTTTCATGGGGGTTGTCCATTGCCACCTTAGAGGTCCGTAATATCTGAAGATCTTGACCAAGGCTTTGTAGAGGTCCTTGGGAGAAGATTCTGTGAAGATCCTGATGAAATCCTGTCAGTCAGAGGTCCTTGTATGATCTTGCACAGGTCCTGATGAGAAGCTCTTGCGAAGATCCTGCCGACGTCCTCTAAGAGGTCCCTGCAGGATCTTGCGCACGTTCTTATGACAAGATCTTGTGAAATTCCTGCTGACATCTTCTAAGAGCTCCTTGCGTGATCCTGCACAGATCCTTAACAGAAGATCTTGTGGAGATCCTGGCGGGATTCGCTCTATCTAAGAGGTCCTTGCATGAAAATCTTGCACATGCCATGTCTTACAGGTGCTTGTGTGACAGGAAGACTCTTGGGAGGTTCTTGTATCAAGATCTTGTAAGACCCGCTACAGCAGCATTTTCCTTTTATGACGATCCTGTGAGCTTCTTCTAGGGGTCTTGGCTTGAATATCTTGGCCAAGGTCTTTAACAAGTCCTTGTGAGAAGCTCTTCTGGAGGTTGTAATGAAATGCTGCCAGGGGCCTTTGCATGATCTTGCACAGGTAATTCTGAGAAGCTCTTGAAGAGGCCCCGGTGAAATCCTCCAGATGTCCTTACATGATCTTGTACAGGTCTCTGTGAGAAGATCTTGTAGAGATCCTGTTGACATCCTCCTCAAGAGGTCTTTGCATTAAGATCTTGGAGATCCTCTGCATAGGTGCTTGTCTTACAATTCTTCTGGGATGCTCATAGGCGGGGCGATCATGCCTAACCTCGTTCCATAGCTACTGTTGCTTGTATCTGGTACTGTTTGGGGTCTCTTGCCGGTGAAATTTTGTTTCAAGCTTCACAGGGTTCACTGAAGCAAAACAAATCTTCAGGTTGGTGTGTGTGCCTGTAGGGGGTTCAATCTCTGTGTCTTGAGAATGATGTCTCATGTGGTGAGCGCCAAAGCCGAACAGAACCCGAACGGGTTTCCAGTGCTGGTGTTGGATTGCAAAGTGAGCTTCCCTCTGGTAATTTAACATAGCTATAAGGAAAATTGCCTTTTTTAAGAACGATCATTCATGCTACAGATTCAGCATTGACACACATGGATTTGGAACAGATGAAGAAGTTTAAAGTTAACCTAACTATTTTTCCTATCAAACTTATGGCTCCGATACCCCTTATATTCTCGTCCTTCACACTAACATCACGTGGAAAACCCAAAGAAAACACTAATCTTACCATAAATGGGCGTCATATGGTTGCAAATGGTTGTGTAAAGCATCCCACAACAGGAGTTTTATGATTTGGTTTGCCACATTACCCCACTAATGGTTCCAGGGCTCCAATACTAAATTTGTTACTAAACCAGGCTTTCAATACGGAGCCGCGCCGAGTGACAACTTTGTGGCCCATCACGTCGGAAAGCAAAATTGCCAAGATCTCACCTTCCGAGAAAGGTCATGTGGTGGTTGTTCAGGCCCCTTCAAAAATGAAAGGCAACTGAAATCATCCAAAATACTATCCATGTATTATGGTATACATATAGAAATATATTCACTGAGTGGTGGGCTGAATTTTGGGCTGTGGATTTTTTCTCAACATGGATCATCTGGGTCCGACTCATGTACCGACTCAGCAAAAAGGAAACTATAAATTATGTAATAATATATATATATATATATATATATATATATTACATATAAGATATGTGAGTATTAAAAAAACATGGCAGTTACTATTATATATATAGTATCTATACCAATGAGTTACTATATATATATACATATATATATATAGATACGTGTTTGAAAACTATTCAAAAACCAGAAGCAGGTAGAGAATTGAAAGTACATACCAAAAACCAAGCTATTGAATTACGCACGTTTGTCATTAACAATGATTTGAACATAGGCCTGCTCACAAAAACAAAAAACTGGATTGATAGATGTGCTGAATTGAAACAATCCTACAACACACCAATATTTATTCTACGCGGAATTATTCGCTACATATGTATATATATATATATAATATTTCAATATCAGCATGCAGCCAGCCATCAAACTCATCAAAGTGCATATCACATTGCCAACCAAAGGCGACCGTGCAACAACTGCTTTTTGCATCATTTTTGAAGAAACAAAAAATTGCGGACAGTAATATATACTATTGGTTTTTTATGTTCGCCAGTCGGTCTGCCCAGGGCCCTTGGACACCCCTGGACCCCGAATACAACCATGACGAGCAACTGACAATCCAGCTGGAGTCCCAATTAGCCACTGCAATTCCAATGGGCATGGTCACTCCCGCAATTGTCACTTCCGTCAGGTTTTCTGGCGCAATTGCATCCTGGGCCGTTTCTTTTGTTTGGCAAAAAGATGGCATTGTATGTAATTGTTTGAACATTCTAAATGTCATTTGAAAAACTCCGAGTAGCTCCTTGGATCCCCATTGAACATTGAAGTATGGAAAATATGAGTACCCACAGCTCCATAGCTTCTTCCTCACCACCGCTAATCAGTAGTTAAAACAACAACAGACTAGTCCACAGTGTGGCAAATTAAAGAAAACAGGAGATATACTTTCGCTTGAGAAGGGGGGACACGAAAGGCAGTTGTGTCGCAGGTGACGCAGGTGAGCGATGAGAATAAGATGGCAGGGTGGATGGTCGATGCTCTGCGCTGCTGATGATGATGATGATGATGACGATGTTGATGATGATGATAATGCAGGGCCACTTGACTCAATCGATGCTAACCCTGGCATACTAAATCCCTGATGGTGCAAAATCATCAGTGGCTCCGACCTTTTCCTTCTCACATGTGTGCTAAACGTCAGAATGCCATAACAAGGCAATCAAAAATCCACTAATAGTTCCACTTGTTGTAGATGATCCACATGTTGAAAATGAATATTATCCGTTGGCGTCTTAGAATATCAGAGGGATCCAGAAAAATATAGCCGTGGTTCAAAAAGCTGCTGCCTAGTTACCATCCAAGTTAGACTCTCATGGGTGGGAGTTATTCCGAACATGGTATCATGGGCCATATGATCATCAAATAAACATCAGAAACATTAATAAATCATAAACAACCGAGCGCTTGGGTAAACATATGACGACGATGATGACAATGATGACAAAGATGACGATGATGATGATGATGATGATGATGATAATGATGATGATGATGATGATGATGGTGGTGATGGTGATGGTGATGGTGATGGTGGTGATGATGATGATGATGATGATGGCGTGATGATGATGAGATGATGATGATGATGATGATGATTATGATGATGATGTTGATGATGATGATGGATGATGATGATGACTGATGATGCTGCTGCTGATTTGATGGTGCTGATGATGATGGTGCATGATGATGATGCTGCTGCTATGATGCTGATGATGATGACGATGTTGAGCCATTCAGAAAATCATCCGGTCCAAATTGAGGAAGATCCATATGATCTGGGGGAGGGAGGCGGGGGGGGGGGGGGGGGGGGGGGGGGGGGGTCCATTTCTCCTGGTCGTTCAGGGATAAGGGGTCCAGCCTACCCCTTTGCTTCGCAAAGTAAAACTCAAGGTAGCCCGTTGGGAGGCTACCTTTCGTGACTTGTCTTCCAACAAACAAGTTACAAACGCGATGGGGTCCTCCAAAAAACGAGGTAATGATCACGATGACGACGAGGACGAGGATGAGGATGAGGATGAGGATGATGATGATGATGAGGATGAGGAGGATGATGATGATGATGGTGGTCGTGGTGGTGTTGATGAATGAAGATGACTATGGCCATGATGATTAACATACTATGATGACGAACCAAAATATGATGATGAAATAACATATGATGATGATGATGATGATGATGATGATGATGATGATGATGCTGACGATGAGGACGATGATGATGATGATGGTGATGATGATGATGATGATGGTGATGGTGATGGTGATGGTGATGAAGATGATGGTGAGGGTGATGGTGATGGTGATGATGATGATGATGATGATTATGATGATGATGGTTATTATTATTATGATGATTATGAAAGCACATGTCTACGTTGCAACAACTACATTCAACTGTTTCTTCAGGCCTTCAAGACTCGTAGGGTTGACCACCTTCTGACAACTTGTTTAAACCTCGCCTGCCCACCAGTCATTGCCGGACCAAACTATTTAACAAAAACTATGCAAAGCCAGGCCCACCCATCAAAGCCCTTGCGTTTAGTACCGCAATGATTATATGTCCTTTGTAAACGTGTGACCCAGACCGTTCAAAAAATGTCGTGATAATTAATGGCGTTATTCTCTAAACATCCGCTCACGTTAAACTTTCAGCCGTCATTGCTCAAACCACCACACCATCGTTGAGCAAACCCAAGCACTGTTTGGCACTCGTTCTTCGCCCAATTGGTATTGTCCCGTGGTAAACGATGTAACATGTAACATGATGTAACACATTCACACCGGAAGTTAAAAATTGACTTTCATGGAGTCAGATTGCGGTGACCATCCATCCCTGCGTCAACCATTTTCATGATGTTTGTATCTCCAGATCTCGCTTTCCCATTCAATGGCCGCGCAGGGTTCTGCATATAAATATATATATATATACACACATATAATTACAACATTCTCTGCAATACATTGTCTGAAAACGCGATGGGCACTCACCAAACGACCCCTAATCCTTACGAAACCATATCCACGCAGAGAAATAATGCACACAATCATCTTCACCAACGCAAGAAACACATGCTGCAACTAGCCACAGAAGCGGTGATCATCACAATGAGAAGACTAAGCGCAACAAATCTTGCCAACGACCGAATCAACACCGGATCCCAGATTAGCTGAGCATGTGGCTTAGCTGAGAATTGCCCATTGGTAGTGTGCCAATTGGTAGTAGGCACGGTATGTCAACTGATTTTGCTTTGGTATGCCCTGATATGATTGATAAGGAAAGATGTCATATGACATGATCTTGTGATAAGATATGGATGACTCACCCACTTGATAACGTCAAAAAAAATGGATCGATCTTGATGTTAATGATATTTTACACACAGAACGTTCTTTTTTGCGTGCAAACACACAGATGCTTTCACACACAGAGGTTTTTACATAAGCTGCCCCACCATCTAACGAGTAGAATATTTAACAGACTCAAGATGCAAACCTGCCTCTATGCATCTGCAGAATTACATACAGTTGTAGATATGTAGGTTCCCTACATCTATGTACCTGCATGCATACACGTGGATATGTGTATGTTTTTTCCCCTGGATCTATGCACCTGCATGCACGCACACAAGAGATGTGTGTATAGATTAAATTTCACCCACATCTGCACGCCTGCATCTATACATCTGCAAATGTGAAAGTGTAGATGTGTAGATGTTGTTGATGATGCTGCAGCTGCTGATGGTGATCATGAAAACGATGACAATGAAGATGTTGATAATGATAAGAATGATTTTGAAAATGTAATTTGGTAGAAACCCTTCGCAGGCAACACGTTCCAAAACAATGCGATGAGGTGCTCTGTTTCTCCCAGTGATCCATGGTCAGCTACAGTACAGGCCAAGATTTTTCGCTGAGTCAAAGGAGCTGATAAGCCAAATCAAATTAGGATATTCAGGAAGCCCCCCTGAAAATAGTTTTGGCTTACTATATGCGTATGATTGCGTATGTATGTCCATGTATATATATATATTATTCTTATTCTTATTATTATTATTAGCATTATCATTATTAATTATTGTTATTGTCATTATATATATTTATATCTATATATAATATATAATATATATATATATCATTGTAAATCATGAAAATGGCGATTTAAGATAGCTATCCGGTTGGTGGAATCTCACTCAAAACACGTTTGGATCACCATACCATCATATGTTCTAGTTAATGCCAGCGGGGGGAAAACCGCGCCAGCGTTTTGACCGTTTTTGAAAGCACACATTTTTTTGTCCGGTACATGCACATCTGACGTTACGTCACTGGGTTAGGGGGGTGGGGATGTTAACGTTCATGTTACCTTGCGTCACATGCACATCTGACGTTACGTCACTGGGTTGGCGGGGTGGGGGATGTTAACGTTCATGTTAACTTGCGTCAATGGCGTTAGATGAACTCCAAGACCAAAAGTCTTTTGGAGCTCACTGGCCGCGCCTTGGAAGAACCGTATGGCGATGTAAGGTGGAAAAAAAGACCGGGCACCTTTTCAGGAACAAATTCTCTGTAAATTACAGGTCATCATCCAAAAAAACACTTCAAATTCCCGGGGAATTTTAAGCCTATTTTGGGGAATGAATCAATAGTTTCATATAGTTTCGCTATGGCGAAAACAACATGTTTCAAAATGCTCAAGACGCTGGCGCGGTTTACCCCCCGACGGGTAGTTTATCACGGCACACCGACGGAGGGTTTCATGGACACACTCAAGATCATCAATTTAGGTATACGGTATTCCAAAACATGGCCTTGCCGGGGAGCTGCCTATTTTCATGAGACATGAACAAAATATTGATGTGTGTTCCCAAATCAACAATATGTTCAATATGTTGAAAAGATGTTAAGCCACATTCTTGGCTGGCTAGCACAAACCTGCATAAATTCTTTGCAAAGCGTGACTGGTGGTCATAATGTTCTCTAAAGCTGGTGAGTCCTGGTCACTTTGCGAGTCGTACCTCCGTTTTTGGTCATCTGACTAGTCAATGTGGTAGTACCGTTGACCCAGCGCCCAGCGCAACGATAAAGAGTCGTACCCCTGGGGTTCAAGTCTTGGTATGCAAATTTATTCCGTATATGCTAGTGACTAGTCTGGCAAATAGATATTCCCCTCCCCAATATCATTTTTTTGACCCCATACCCACACGTGGTTAGATTCCAGGTTGGCCAAACAAATTCACCCTGCGCCTTGAGCAAACTCTAGGACGGTGCCATCCGCTCCAAGGTTCTAAGGCTCACTTCCCAGTGTTAACAGTGGTTCAGTCATGTTAATCCAGTGATCCTGCGCCTTGAGCAAACTCTAGGACGGTGCCATCCGCTCCAAGGTTCTAAGGCTCACTTCCCAGTGTTAACAGTGGTTCAGTCATGTTAATCCAGTGATCCATGCGGCAACAGAGTTGGGCACCACAAAAATAGAAATTGTCTGCGAGCTTGCTTGGAGAGGCCAGGAGGACGAGGGGGGAAATAAGAAGAGAGGAGGAGAGAAGATGTGAACAGGAGATGACACAAGAGCTAGAGACCCCCACCACGTGGGAAATACAAGTCATTGCCTTTCATCGTCCCACGTATGAATTTAAAACAACATGTGTTGGAACGACAGTCCAGTTTTTGTGAGCGTTTACACCCACAACCAAGCAAGCAGGTTGATGCACTGTCCAAGCTTCTGGCAAGCATGTTCTGCTGCAAACTGCCCAACAAAGTGCACTAAGGAACACGAGCCGGCGAAGCGCCTTGCCCATGCCCCGCAACTCGCACCCAAAGGGCCTCGGATTGCCAGATATGGCGAGTTCGACAATCTTGGGCCCGAAGCCGCTGCGATATGCCAAAAAGAATACCAAACAATTACCAAAGAGAATGTAAACATATCTGCCAAATAGTTTGCCAGAAAGAATGTCAGATAGCATGCCAAATCAAATATCAAAACATATGCTAAATCGACTGCCAAAATATATGTTAAACAGAATTCTAGATCAAATGACACAATATGTATATATATATATGCCAAATAGATCCGAAAAGAATGTCAGATACGATATCAAATAGAACTAATGCCAGATAAATTGTCAGATAGAATGGCACAAAGGATGCGAGGACAAAAACCAATAAAATGCCAGATTGATTGCCAAAAAGAATGCCATATAACAAATGCCACATATATATATATATATATATATGTGTGTGTGTGTAAAATAAAATACCAACAACACATAGGATAGATAATGAAATGCCAGTCAGAATATATGCTGGATAAAATGCAAGGCAAATAGCGCGTCAGAACATTTATATTAGATAATGTCACAACACACATCAAAACAAAATCCAAATGAATTGTCAGAATATATATATATATATATATATATATATGCCAGATAGAATGCCAGAGTGAATGCCAGATAAAATGCCAAATGGAATGCAATAATATAACATAGGCCAGGTAGAACGCTGGAAAAAAAATTGTACAAAATGAAATGCCGGATGAAACATGATAAAATAAGTGCGTCAAATAGAATGCCAAATAGAATGCCAGAATGTACGCCAAATAGATTGGCACAACATATGTCATGTGACATGTCAAGTAAAGTATGTGCCGGATAAAATGCCAGACTAATAGATGCCAGAGAGATTGCTAGATAGAATGTCAGCAAAAATGCCAGATAGAATGTCAGAATAGATGCCAAACAGCATGCCAGAGACAATGCCACAAAAGATGCCAGATATAACGCCAGAATGAATTCCAGAAAGAATGTCAGAATCAGAACAAATGCCAGAAAGAATGCCGGCTGGAATGTCAGCGTATATGCCAGAAAGATGTTAGATAGAATGACAAAACATGTATAATAGTGTATCTGACAGAGTATCTGTATGTATATATATATATATGAGTGTATAATGTATAATAGTGTAAATATATATATATATATTGTGTGTGCGTGTGTGTATTTGCCATTATTTTGCCATATATACTTCCAGATGATTGGCAGGGTAGGGATCAATCGAAGTGTAACACATGGTCACGCCCTAATCATGCGCCCGGAGATCCCCGGAGTTGCCATAAACAGCATACCCTCTGGTAATGACTGACATAGCTATTAAAAATTGCCATTTATAGTGGATTTTCCCATTAAAAATTGGGATTTTCCATAGTTATGTTAGTTTACCAGAGGGTAAGCCCCAGCTTGCCCCACGTAGCCCGGCAAATGTTTCATCCGTTGGGGTATCGGGTATCGGCAACGCAATCCGCCAAGGCGCCAAGTCGCCAAGTGGCAAGGGCCGACAAGGCGTCTCTTTTTGCTCAGCTTCAGAGCTGTTGAGCCACACTGCGGACCCATGGTGCGGGTAAAGCTCTAAAAACTCAGCCGGAACCCTAAAATTTGTCTCTTGGACCTTGTTTGGCTTCAGATCCTCCTTAGATTTTGAGGGCTGGAAGGGGGAATTGGATAAATGTGCAACTACCCACAGTGAAACCAACAAATCGGTACAAAACTTGCATGCATACCCCTTGGCAACTCGCAACTCCACCGCAAGGAAGAAAACAACTTAAGCAAAAAAATCCTCAACCATAAGATGGACTGATTGCTTTGTTCCCCCTACATAAATCCTACATTTTCAAGTGGTTCAACTCAGAAAATGATCCCGGTCCCATCGTGCCCGCCCCAGTCACAAGCAAGGCCCACGGTGAAGGCCCCCACGCCTGGCAGGGATGGGTCAAGCCTCCTGGCGAAAATTGAAAATTGCTGCTACATTTGAAATGGAAATTGCTGGATGCTAACTCCCCTGAAAATTGCATATAGGTATAGAAAAATATAGAATATAGAAAAAATATAGTTCATGTATCTATATAATATTCATTCTGCTCGAGCAAAATTAACATATTCTTTATGGACAACCCAACCATGAAGATGGACATATCCCGTGGAATCCATGGTTGTTTTCCACCTCAGTTTACTGGAGGGCATAGTTGATTATCATAATTTATCGCGTTTCATTCATGTCGATAATTAACTATGTACGCACATCATTGATCAGTTAGGAAGGTAACATCACATATTTTTTTCCAGGCTGCAACTAGAAGCGTCACGCGCTGCGGGGCAATATGAATTCGATGTCAGAGGATCTCAGCACAGTCCGGTCCATATGCTGCTCCGAAGTCATTGCTAATCATGGCGGAGCAGATCTGCAGAAAGGACTGCGGCATATATATGATTTATATGATGACACCCTCCCTTCAGTAATCTAAGCGATACATGTCATCCCAGCTGTCACATTTTGATTTTTTTCTCACCATCATCCATCATCTACTTCACCTGCTCAACCACAGTGTTGAGGCAAATTGGGTGGAGCCATGCAGGTGACACAGAGTGTCTCAAGTACAGAGCAATAACATATAATAACATATAATAACATATTATCCCAATTTGAATGTGGTAAAGCCAACGCCATAAGCCATCCACTTCTGATATCATGCATCATGGGGATGTACATTTTGATCATCGTTCGCCGCCGCCCCAAATGACTGGATCCAGGCAGAGGCCCAAAAGTCCGGAACCGTCCCAAAACCGCACAGAAACAAATGACCCGAACATCTCCCCGAATGATTCGATGATCCCAAATGTGCAATTTGCATCAATCTGCCATATGTCTGCCATATCTGCCATCACCATGAAACTATCCCCTCCGACTCGCCATCCTCACGGCCCGGCCCGCCTAAGAAGTAAATCAAGGAGGCCCAATAGGGCCATGGCCCCGCACCCAAACGTTCCAGATTGCGAAGCGCCTGCGGCAAACCCAATGCCATTTTTACCTCCGACTGGGGATGGTTCAAAAAATACCCTGGTGATATTGGGGACGGTTTATGGCATTGGGTTTATATATTGGTTTACCACATTACAAGCCATTCCATTCATCATTGGACTGCATGAAGACTGAATTTCCTGAATCGAATAAAATTTCAGGGCAACATATATATGGTCCACCTAAGAATGGTTTCATGCGCAAATGTAATTGCAAAAAACGAGCACATAGATGTTTCACTGCTAATCGGGTAACCCCTAAAGAAAAAAGTACCATGTGGTAAGAAAATCAACCGTTTTTAGATCATGTTCATTGATGAACTAAAAACAAGCCGCCATTTAGCGAGCGAAATTCTCAGCCAGCCATGTTTCATTACCGGAGGGTATTCATCTCCGATTCATGTAACCATTTTACACGTCAAGATCCAAGCTATGGTCAGAGATTGACCTATGCCCATGCCGGCAACAGCAAACGATGGATCCTGATGGCACCATTAGCGTTCTTGAAAGAAAAACATAAACAGTGGATTTCTCATGCTTTACCCCCAATGTTTATGCTACACACCCATACGCAACCAGGTTTTTTGAAACATGGAATGGAATGGAATGGAATGAATGGGGCACCTTTTTTCAGGCTGAAAGTATATACCAGCCCAAGTACCAGCACCATGCTCGTAACCATGCATTCCATGGATCATATCACTGCAGGTTCCAACCCAGCAGTGCGCCGAGTTGCGCGTTTGGCACGCAAGGGATTCAAGTAGAAACCTGGCGAAGCCACCGGGCCAGTGCTGAGTACCGCTCGGTGAACTGGCCGATGAATTGCTGCACGATGACAAACCGCTCGAACAATTCAGTGATGTTGATGGTAACTGTTTTTTTTCTTTAAGGGACACATCATGATAACATATATGATAACATCCGTTGAACTTTCGCGCACGCTATTCTCAAACCTGCACGGACCCACGAATATTGGCCTTACGGAGGTTTGGGACAATCATGGATTAGAATATATAAATATATATATATATATATACGGATATATATGGATATATATATGGTACAATGTTATACCATAACTTTAATGTACAAACCTACTCTTTAGTTATTGTAATTACATGGTTTGTACACGTTTGTACCAATCATCGTCGGAGCTTTGGGACAATCCGAAGGATTCCCTGATGCCACTGGTCCAGTGGCATCATCTGGGCAAATTACGAAAAGAGTTACCAACACACACACACACCCGGAAAAGCCCGAAAATACATCTTGATTTGGACCTGACATGAACTGACCTCTATAGGCTGATATTTGTTTAGGCAAACATGTAATTACTATACCCATATGCTCCCATGGTGCTGGAATATTTACCAACATTTGCCCGAACAAAATATGAAAAATCAGCCAATCAGCCAGTTTTGTAGGTAAAAATACCAGCACCATGGACAATCACCGGGATGATTCCAATCATCACTGACGGTCGCCCAAGCGTCGTTCCGGTCTTCTGGCCGGTGGTCGCCCCCGGCCACTGGGCGACCTTTCAAGGTCGGAGCCGCCTGAAGACTCTCTGGGAAACAGAGAAGGCACAATAAGAGTTATTAAATGGTCAATGGCACAATGGTTATTAAGTATAATAACATGTTGTTCACATTTACAACAGTATTTAACCATTAGGTGATAAATTATTCTTAATTAATGTATGTATGGTTCTTTAAAGCAATAAATTGTCAATAGACGCTTATATTTTTCAAACCAACCCACAATACGGACTGGATGTCCTTGGAGCCCACGACCCAGCTGCAGATATTGGTTTTCATCCGTGCCCTAAACCCTAAAACCATTCCCATCATCAGTATAACATACTATCTTTATATATAATTTAAATATACTTTATAAACATGTAAAAAAAAAACGTGAAACATAATATGTGTATATATACATATAATTACATATATATTATGTATGTGTGTATATATGTACCACATTATAGTTACCTTATAGTTCCTTGTAAGATCATCTTTGGGGATTTGCCAAGCCGTTGCGTCCAAGCCCGGTTGCTATCGCTGCTGGCATCGCTCTCACTGTCCGAGAGGACGCTGGCAACGCTGCCCCCACTGCCGTTGCTGGAAGTACTGGCGACTTCGTCCTTGGAAGCGCGACATCAACGGACCCCCACAGGACTTACCTATCCCATGTGCAACCCATGGTGCTGGCATATTTACCTACAAAACTGGGTGATTTCTAGGGCAAAAGTTGGTAAATATTCCAGCACCATGGAGCATATGGGTATGGAATGCTCATTTTTAGTGTCATTTACCACTATCTTAAGGGCCATAAAGCCCAATTAAGTCTTTATAACTCCTGGGTTGACATGGTAAAATGCCAACAGAGAGCTTCTTTATCACCCTCTAAGTAAGTATTTAGGTAAGCAACCGGTATAAATATCATACTTAGCGGCTAGTCACGGCTAGTCACGGCTAGCAACTTTGTTACGAGGCGCCATCTGGAAGGGACGCAGCAGCACATCTAACGATGAGGTCTTGGAACTCAAGATCAAAGGACGTAGAAGAAAATTTAAAAACACCAAGCAAAGTAAGAACCACTAAAAAAAGATCAAGTCCATGCTTGATACTTTTCTCATGGAATTGTCTTTTGCTTTTTTCGCAGGATCCAACTGCTAGGTTTCCGGGCTGAGAAGGGCTTCAATCTTTTCCTCTTCCTGGGTGTAAAACACTGGTGGTTGAGCTGGCTGAACAGTCTCTCTTGTGATTTTCGGATGCACTTCGAAATCAATCTCATGAAGTAAATGAAGATTTGCTGTTAGATTATTCCAAACGAACATAGACCCCGAGAACCGTCCATTTTTGGAGGGAAGTTGCCTCCTAAAGTAACCCTCATAACTGGCACGGTCTATGTTATTGGGAGGGAGGGTACGGTTTCATTTAATTATGCGGTATTTAACAAAAAATAACATGTTTCTTCTGAAGCTGCGTCATGTCACGTGACCCAACACGATCCATGACTTTGCGAACAGACCGGCGCAGACAAATCCGTTGGGTAGCTTGGACTCCGCCCGTCTGATTCCTGAAGGTTTTAAAAATCTTCACGTCCCTGGTTTGGAAATTGTCTGAGTTACAAAGAGGCCAATTAACTTATTTCAAAATTATACACCCCGTGTTGCAACTGTTATAGTCATAGTTGTAAGATGTTGTAAGTGTAACTACAGTAACCTATTTCGGTCCATTTGGTACTGAATCCGACAGAAACAGGTTCCAGAGGTGCCAGTCGTCCGTGTGGCCATGATTTGCCAATACTCGACGGAGACAATATCTACATCCAGCAATGCTATGGATCTAATCATCCCAATCTATCATAGTCTATCCATATCTATCCATACACCTGTGAATACATGTATGTGTAATTAAAAACAGAACTAAAAAATGTATACAACTAACTAACTAACTCCCTGAGTTACTGCCTCCAGCGAAACCAACCCTTGTTCTGCTCATCCTACCCATGGTTTCTACCCCCCCTTCACA